TCAGCATAACAGTGATAAGAGAAGCCATGAGATGATATTACATTGCCAAGAGAGCTAGTGTAAAGAGAAAAGAGAAGAGGACCTAGCACCGAGCCTTGTGGGACACCAGTGGAGAGCCTGCATGGAGAGGATGTGGACCCTCTCCATGTTACCTGATAAGAGCGATCTTCCAGATAGGACTTGAACCACTTCCACGCAGAGCCAATGATTCCAAGGTTGGTGAGGACATCCAGAAGAGCCGTGTGATTGACCGTGTCAAAAGCTGCCGGGAGGTCAAGAAGAATCAGGACAGATGACAGACAGGCTGATCTTGCTAACTGGAGCTTCTCGGTCACTGCTATACGAGCAGTTTCTATTGAGTGCGCTGGTTTGAAGCCAGACTGGTTGGGGTCCTGGAGCTGGTTCTGTGTGAGAAAGAGAGACAGTTGATTATAGACTGTACGTTCAAGAATTTTTGAAAGGAAAGAAAGGAGTGATACCGGTCTGTAGTTGTTGATATCTTCAGGATGGGAAGTACTCTTACAGTCTTGAAAGTTGATGGAACTTCACCTGATGACAAGGACTTGTTAATGAGAAAAGTGATGAAGGGCAGTAGATCCTTGGAACAATGGACTGCAACAATGCAGATGGAATGGGATCCAGCAGGCAGGTTGTTGGGTTACTGGATTTGATAAGTTGAAAGACATCTGTGGAAAGAGAAGAAAAACAGTTTAAGGGATCGAGAACGAGAGGAGGAGGTCTAGTGGAAGGAGTGGGGACAGAGGGAAAAGACTGGCGGATTTTATCAACCTTCTCCTCAAAGAAGGTGACAAAATCCTCAGGAGTGAGAGAAGAGGGTGGAGGGGGAGGAGGAGGGTTGAGGAGAGAGGAGAAAATGCTGAAGAGCTTGTGTGGATCAGATGCTGATGCTTCCAGTTTCCCTCTGTAGAAAGATGACTTTGCAGCAGTAACTTCGAGTGAGAACTTGGAAAGGAGAGATTGGTAGGAGTGAAGATCCGAGTCGAGCTGGGATTTCCTCCACCTTCTCTCAGCCTTCCTTAGTTCTTGCCGGTTGCTGCGCAGGACACCTGTCAGCCAGGGAGCAGGTGGAGAAGATCTTGCTGGCCTGGAGAAGAAAGGACACAGAAAGTTAATTGCAGATGAAAGTGAAGAAAGGAAAGCATCTGTAGCTGTGTCCAGTGAGAGAGAAGAAAATGAATCAGGATGGGGAAGAGTGTTCAGGATAGTTGAAGCGCAAGAGGAGGAAGGAGTGGAGTGCAGGTTGCATCGAGAGGAGGAGTGTGAAGGGGTGGAATGGACAGGAGCGGCAGGTAAGAAGAATGAGAAAGATAGGAAGTGGTGATCAGAGCGGTGAAGGGGAGCTACTGTGACATCCAGCGCGGAGGTAGGTCTGGTGAAGATCAGGTCCAAAGCGTTGCCTGCTCTGTGTGTTGGAGGAGTCTGGTTGAGGGTGAGGTCGAAGGATGATAGCAGTGGTAACAAGCAGGGTGACTGCAGTTTGTCCGATGGCAGGTTGGAAGTCACCCAAGAGTATGAGCGGGGTTCCATCGATAGGGAAGAGACTCAGAAGAGTGTCTAACTCATCAATGAAGTAGCCTAGAGGAGAAGGAGGATGATAAAGGACAGTGATGTGAAGTTTAGTGGGGAAAGATACAGTGATAGCATGGTACTCAAATTGAAAGATGAGAAAAAGCAAGTGGAGTGAAACGCCACTTCCTGGACAAAAGCAAACCTGTGCCACCACCCCTGCCAGACTGTCTCGGAGAATGGGAGAAGTGAAAGGCAGAGGACAGGGCTGCTGGAGCTGCCAAATTCATGGGAGTGATCCAGGTCTCCGTCAACGCCAGAAAGTGCAGTGAATGGAAGGATCCAAGGGGTTAAAATGAAGTCTGCTTTCTGCACAGCGGATTGGCAATTCCAAAGCCCACCTGCCACCCTGGTCTGAGATTCTGACGACCATGGGGGATTGGTGAGGTTAATGGAATTACGGGTCCTGTGACGATAGATGGTTCTGTGCGATCTGTGGGAAGAGTAAACAGGGATTGTAAAGCACATGATGGACACAACGCTAGAGTAATCAGGACAAAAAGAGGTAGTGAAGAATAACAGTGATACTTAGCCAAAGAAGCAGTCACGTCTCTGTTGATGATGGATGGGAGCTGCAACAGACTGCTACAGACAAGCTTGTCTGTAGCAGAACACCTCCTCAATTTTTCAGCCTTGTGACTGATAGTCCGGCCCCTACAATTCATACCTTTGGCTAACCCGAAACTACACCTGAAGCTAGTAGTTACAATTAAGCACTAGGTTCTACAAGACAGCCTTGTAACTAACAGAGTCTAAGCTAGAGAAAGTCTCAACTCAGAGCCTACGTTAACCAGCAGAAAGACAATATTTCAATTAGAAGACACGCACAGTAGTGTTACAGTCAGTAATATTACAGCCACTGACTGTAAAACAACTGACTGCAAAACAACTGACTAAAACCACTGACTGTAACACAACTGTTACACTACTGACCATAAAACAGCTGAATGTGACACTACTAACTGTAAAACCACTGACTGCAACACTACTGACTGTAAATCATAATGACTGTAAAAACACTGACTGTAATATTACAGACTGTAACACCACAGTAAAATATAAAATCAGATTTTACTAAAGGTGGACTCAGAGCTCATCCACCTCCCTTTGAGATATACATGCAAGATTTACTTCAAAATGGCCTTCCTGTTTATCCATCCATCCATCCACCATCTAAACCGCTTATCCTTCTGGGTCGCGGTGGGGTGCTGGAGCCTATCCCAGCTGTCATTGGGCGGAAGGCAGGATACACCCTGGACAGGTCGCCAGTCCATCGCAGGGCAGACAGACAGACAGACATACACATTGCCTTCCTGTTTATTATTATTATTATTATTATGATTGTTATTGTTATTATTATCATTATTAAAAGGATTTTTTAAGTGTTCTATTGCTTTTATACAACAGTTAAATAAATAAAGTAATAAATTAATAAACTGGGCCGTGAACGCGGCGTTTAATATGTTTTAATGTTCGCAGTTCCTTCACCAAATTATAGTTCCTTAACGAGCAGCTTTTTGCTGCGTCAGAGTAACGAGCTCCGCCCACTCACTGCACAGCCGGCAGTTCGTTCTCCAGCTCCTTACACTAAACTCCCAAACTGTCATCACCACTGAGCAGCTTTTCAGTCGGCAGCTGTGACAGAAGAACAGCTGAACAACCTGGAATCAGCCAGAAATGAACCCAACACCATTCGCCAAACTAAATGGGCTGTAAGATGCTTTACAGACTGGCTGGAACAAAACAACATTAATACTGATCTGGCAAAAACTGACAGAACTGAGCTGAACTTGATATTGTGTCAGTTTAATGGCTCAGTCTGATTTGGTCAGACTCTGAAGATCAGACTACACGTTTGGCGAATGGCATTGGGTTCATTTCTGGCTGATTCCAGGTTGTTTAGCTGCTCTTCTGTCTCAGCTGCCGACTGAAAAGCTGCTCAGTGGTGATGACAGTTTGGGAATTTAGTGTCGTCTCATCTTCAGTGTCTGACCAAATCGGCTGTCGGTCAAATGTGATCTTAAAAGTGTCAGTTTTCTGTTTGTGGCAAAGTAAGAAGTAAAAATGTTCAAATGGGTTGAGCGTCTCCTACAGCTGTCAAAGTCGTTGCTTAGCAATGGCGTCTCAGCGGAGTGATACAGTGTTTGTGAAAAACCTGTGATGTTGTGGTGAAATAACAGCACGGTTAGAACGCTGCTCAACCAATCAGCTTGCATGGCTGGAACTAAGTGATGTATAATTGATGATAGATCATAAATATGAGATGCAAAGTGATAAATATAAGATACTAAGTCATAATTGATGCTAAATCATAAATATGAAATACCAGTTTGAGAAACTAAGTAATAATTACTTAAAAAACAATTACTTTTTAGACACTAAATCTTGAGATGCTAAAGCATAATTATGCATAAAGGCATAATTATGAGATAGTAAACCATAATTATAACAATGACTTAGATACTAAGCCATTGCTATGAGATACTAAATCATAAATATGAGATACTAAGTCATAATTATGCGATGCTAAGTCCTATGAAATACTATATCAATTATGAGATACTAAGTCATACTTAGGAGATACTAAATCATAAATATAAGATCCTAGGTCATAATTGTGAGATACTTTGTTATAATTATGAGACACTAAATCATAATTTGAGATACTAAGTCATTATTTTGAGATACTAAGTCATACTTAGGAGATACTAAATCATAATTTGAGATACTAAGTCATTATTCTGAGATACTAAGTCATACTTAGGAGATACTAAATCATAATTTGAGATACTAAGTCATTATTTTGAGATACTAAGTCATTATTCTGAGATAGTAAGTCATACTTAGGAGATACTAATCATAAATTGAGATACTAAGTCATTATTTTGAGAAACTAAGTAATAATTATTAGAATCTAAATTTTAAGATGCTAAACCATAATTATGAGATGGTAAACCTTAATTATAACAATGACTTAGATACTAAGTCATTGTTATGAGATACGAAATCATAAATGTGAGATACTAGGTCATAATTGTGAGATACTAGGTCATAATTGTGAGATACTTTGTTATAATTATGAGACACTAAATCATAATTTGAGATACTAAGTCATACTTAGGAGACACTAAATCATAATTTGAGATACTAAGTCATTATTCTGAGATACTAAGTCATACTTAGGAGACACTAAATCATAATAATGAGATACTAAGTCATTATTTTGAGATACTCAGTCATTATTATCCTGCTCATTATTGAGACTCACTGTGTTTTCTCCCGTGGTCTAAACGGGCTTCCATAGACAGAGCGGCGAGCTCAGTTTAAAGATAATAAATTAATAAATATGAAACTACACTGCCCGTCAGGCGCGGGCGGAGGGTGTCCCGGATGTCGCTGGTCCGCCGGAAGAGAAGGCTCCGCGCGGCCCGGCCATCTTTGCGTGTTAGCGTTAGTGATCGGGGCTCCGCTCCGCACAATCGGAGGAGAATCCGGCCGCTGGGGCGCCATCATGCCCGGACACCTGCAGGACGGCTTCGGCTGCGTCGTGACCAACCGGTTCGACCAGCTCCTGGACGATGAGTCGGATCCGTTCGAGATATTAAAGGCGGCGGAGAGCAGGAAGAAGGAGGCGGCGGCAGCGGCGGGGGCCGCGGGCAAGAGCGCCGCTCAGGCCGCCAGACAGCCGCGGAGAGAGCCGGGGAAGGAGCGGAAAAACCAGCCCGGCGATAAGAAGGAGGAGGCCCAGGCTCCGGTGCCCCTGAAGAAGGACGGTGCGTGGAAATGACGCTGTTAATCTGGCGGTTTAGGGCACGTTGGGTAAACAGCAACAACAACAACAACAACAACAGCAGGGCTTCTTGGCCGAACTCCCCCGTTCCACCTTAACTGGTGCAGCAGATACAGTCAGGCGCCTCGGGCGCCATAATGTAACTGCTGCAGCGTTTAAGGTGGAACGGGGGAATTCGAACAAGAAGCTAGCGAAGCTGTCAGGCTGGAGGACACTCACGACAAACAGCCTAATCTGACAGAAAAAACCGTTGTTTGAAGTCCAGAATGAGTTTAGATCGACTTAAAAACTCTCCCGCTGCGGTTTTAGGCGTTTTATTCCGAGCTCAGTCGCGGTTCTGTCCGGTATTTTTGAACTGCGTAGCTGCTGTTCGCGTTCAGCGCTGCTCCGCTTCAGTTCTGCCCTCAGACGTGAACCAAAACAATGCGGTTTGCGAGGCTCTGGAGGTCCTAAATGTGCCTAAATGTCTGTTAAAGTCCCCGATCTGGGCTCTTTAAGGCCGCTGCCTTCATGTGGAGCTGATAGCAGATCAACAGGTCCTGCTTTAGTGCTTCACAGTCCGATCTAATCTGCTCCTTATCGCAGTGGAAGACCTTATAAAACTGACTCTAACATTCACACTGAGAATCTGAGGCTGATTCAGGATTAAACAGTCCGACATGATCAGCTCTGTTACTGAAGCAGATACAGGTATGAGGCCAGGTTACTGCAGGTCACAGAGGAAGGGGAACTCCACCAAATTTTCAAAGTTTTGCTTGTTAAGATGTAAACAGAGTCATTCAGAGTGGTTTGGTGTGAAACACTGCGATCTAGAGAGTCAGAACTGTTCACAGTGGTGGTGATAGGAACCAGACGTCCACCTCTAAAAGCTCCCTCACAGAAAGTTCCTGCATGAAATGGTTATGAATTCACTGCCTGATGACTGAGACACTGTTTTATGATAGTTTAGAGATCTTAAACTCCATTCATGGTGGAGGGATACATGCAGGGCGCTGTGAGGCAAAATAGTCCCCAAAGAAAACTGATTATTTCAGATTTTCCACTATTTTCCATCATCAACATTCATATAAACTCAGAGGACTCGTGTAGGTTCACTGGTGGTTCTGGATAGTAAATAAAATGTCTATATCTGTGTTGTAGTCATGGCGACCCCTGGTTCCTATCACCACCACTGTAAAGAGATCTTGAGTGTGTACAATCAACCATTTCACACCAAACCACGGATGTTCGGAGAGGCCATGAGGTGGCTGTGATTTTCTGGACTGTTATCCTGAAATCACGACTTAATTGTGTTGTGATCTTGAGATAATGTCACAAGATAGTTAAGTCATGGTCTCAAAATAACAATTTTATCTTGAGGTCACAATATAGTAAAGTTGTTATCGAGATCACAACTTAATTATTCTGTGATCTCAAGGTAACAAGTTTTATTATCTTGATTATAAGGTAACTCATTTGTGATCTCAAGATAACAATTTTTATCTCAGGATCACAAGATAATTAAATTCTGATCTCAAGATAACAATCCAGAAAATCATAACTACCTCAGGGTCTCTCTGGATGACTCCATTTAGTCTCAATCATGCTCAAATATGTGGGAAATTTAGAAATATAGGTGGAATTCCCCTTTAAAAAAAGCTGGTTCTTTAGTGAAGGAAATGAGTCTGTTTAGAACCTATTTGGAAATGGTTCCATGTAGCACCAAAAAGTGTTCTGCTGCTGTTACAATGTCAAGCTTGTGTGCAGTAGCAGAACCGTTTTGGTGCTACATAGAACTGCTTTGAATGGTTCTGTATGGTACCATGTACAGCATGTTCTCCATTAATGTGAAGAATCATTTCACCGTACAGAGAGCCATTTAAGCATGAAATGGTCCTGTGTAGAGCTCATGGTTCTAAATAGAACCATTGCCTTTACTAAAGAGCCCTTGGAGAACCGTGTAGTTCTGTCGTGAGCTTTGTGTGAAAGCAGGCAGGTGAAGGTTTCAGATTCTCCCAGCTGTGTTTAACGGTGGTCATATTTCTATTATTAATAATAATAGTAGTGTTTATATATGAAAATGAAGCTCAGTGCTGAGAGAACAGTGTAAACAAAGCTGTGTGTGGCAGAAATAACATAATAATAATAATAATAATAATAATAATAATTTAATAATAATTATTAAAAAGAAAAGTAGTTAAAACACCCAGAACAGGAGTAAAAGCAGTGTGGTATGGGAGCTGTGGCCCGATGCCAAAATCGCAATGTTTTTCATGTAAATATCAGCCAAAACTAATACATAAACATTTGAGAAATATGTAAATTAGCCCTGTATCTACCTGCATCATTAGAGAGGAAGGTAATGTTTATTTCGGGGTTACAGATGCAGTAAAATGGGTAAAATGCACACATTCTAGTGCAGCAACTAGAGCTGGGCGATATGGCAAAAATGTAACATCACGATACTTAAGGAATTTTTCATGATGTATATGTTTTTTCTGATATCTGATAAGATGAAAAAGACCCAATTTACAAAATAAATACCATAAAAAATGAACATTTCACAGTCCAATTAAAGAGGCTTTATAATGTTCTCTTGTTATTCAGACATGCAGTTGGGAAACGTTTTTAGGTATTGACACTATCCACCATATACACAGTATGTCATGACATACTGTGACAAAATTCATCACAGCATTGATAAATACTGTCATATCGCCCATCTAAACGTTCTGCTTCGATAAATACATCAAATATCAGAGAAATATAAAGATCAGTTCGATACCAATATACTTTATCTGCCCTTATGATCCTTACATCACTGTGCATCCTTAAAATAGTGCAGTATTTTGGGAATGGGATGTGTGTATAGGCCAGTGCTCATATGTAAAGGTGGGCGATATGGCAGAAATATATCACGATACATGATGCGTTTTTCTGAGATTTAATACGTTGGAACAGGTGATATAGAACCCCAAGAACCACATTCTAAAAATGCTGTAATAAAATAATAATAATAGTAATAAAAATGTTACAACTATAATGGTTTATATTCAGTGTTTCACAAACTATTTTCAGAAGAGTTCTGTAGAGCTCTGTGTAGAGCCATATATAACATTCTCCATTAGTCTGTAGAACTATTTCACCATGCAGAGAACCCTTTAAGTATGCAGGTGGTTCTGCATAGAACTCTCGATTCTAAATAGCTGCACTGAATCTAATTAAACAGGTTAATTCTGCTCATTTTGTAACGAAACTTGTTAGTCAGGGTTCTTTAAGGAGTGATGAGATCCATGATACACTCAGAAAAGCGTATTGTGACATAATTTATCGTGATGATGATAAAATATCATCACATTGCCCAGCCCTACTGACGGGTGAACATTTGTAAACCGTCAAATTTGGACTACATCTACCTGAGTTAGCTTTATAGAGGAACATTCCACTGTCAGGTAACAGGAGGAGGCAGCAACGTTCCTAATGGTCTTTAATGGAAGTTAATAGAGGTTACACATGCAGTAAAATGCAAGTAAATATAAAGTGTGTATACATACATTTCGCTGCTGTCTGAGCAAAACCTTGAATCTCCATTTTTGTCATTTTTCAGTTTTTGACATAATTTAAAAAAGCCTGTTGTCCTTTACACTGTGTGTTAATTTCATGATGGACCAAAAGAAACGGCCCAGAACGACTTGGAAAAACGTCTGGTTCCATTGACTTGCATTAAAAGTAAAGTAGATTTATTCCCTCTCCTGTAAAGTTACCATTTTGGGGATATGAGGTTTTGTTCTGACAACAGCTATATATATATATACACACACATCAAATACAAAATCTAAACATCTGTCCAATGCCAACAATATATGTTTGTATATCAAACATTTGTCAGTGATTCCGTTATCGTGCGCCTTAAAACATAACACATTGATTGGCTCCTATTTAGCGGATGGGGAGATGTAAACGTGGACAGACCTGCTGTGCTTCCCTGACTTTCAGACTGATGTTCATTTTCAGAACTGTGTAATTCAGTATCTGCAGATGTGGAGATACAGGTATGAAAATTTCCTCTACAGCGTCAGAAATAACCAGAGTCAAAGGGCACAAATGTGATATAAATACAGAAGTACAGAGCAAAAATACCCCTAATAAACTGTCATAAATGTAACAAATCAGTTATAGAATTCTAACTGATCGGTTGTCATTATAAATAATTGCGATTCATTTTTGAATTGTCTGTTTTGTTGATCATTGAATGCGACAGTTAAAGTACAAGTGGCCAAAGTATCTGATTAGCCTTCTTCCTTTGTAGCTATGTTTACTCAGACAAACGTCTACAGTCACACAGAGTCGTGTGTGGAGTCAGTCAGAGCTACATTTGTCCTTAAAGTGGAAATATAAGCAAACACTCGCTCCGCTAGAGCCTGTCAGGTTAAAGACTGGGTGTCTCGCACTGTCTGACTGGGTTATGCGGATTTTTTTGGTGACTGAATTATTAGAGATCACACCTTAAATGACTTAAGTTGTTGCTGAGCCGAAGCGAACCAGCACTCATAATGTGTATTAATAACAGTGTTTACTGCTTTCTTTCATTATGTTTAATTAACGTTTAATATGTTTAAACCCCAAACGGACAACTTTTCAATGTTTAGTTTGTAGAGGAACAGCATGACTGTGAAATCTAACAACTGGAAAACATCATTCAAATTACTGAGATCATTTAAAAAAAATGTGATTATGTATAAATAGTGACAGGCCTAGTCTTTTATACATGAGATGCAGTTTAAAGTGCTCAAATAAACCAGAGCAGAGTGCAGCACAGAAATAGAAAATGTAAATAAAACTTTTTTACATTTTGTTTATATATATATTTAAGTGTGTGTCTGTCTGTGAATGTGTGTCCAGTGCTGAAACGTTTTTAAAGGAGATATCTTCTCGAAATGATTTCTTTATCATGCACCATAAAAAATAACACATTAGCTCATATTTGGTAGGTGAAGAGAGGTTAATGTGGACAGACCTGCTGTGCTTCCCTGACCACTTTCAGACTGATGTTCATTTTCAGAACTGTGCACTGTTTAGTATCCGCAGACGTGGAGATACAGGTATGAACATTTCTGTACAGCGTCAGAAATAACCAGAGTCATATGGCGCAAATGGCCCTGTATGGAATATTAATACAGAAGAACGGAGCAAGAAACACCCCCAAATAAACTAAGCTAACAAAATAATGAAAGTTACTACGACCGTCACAGGCGTTTCAGGTTTTCTTCACCGGTTTAGTCAGCAGTTTGGCTGCTGAACGATCTGAGCGATCAAACTCATGTCTGGTAGGAGTGAAAAATTACGGTGTAAAGGTTTAACAGCCTGGAAAAATGCTTGGTTTGCCGTTAGTTAACCGAAACTATCATCAATATCGTTTATAACAACAATAATAAGAATAAAAATAGAAGATAACATTAAAGCTAAAGATAAAGATAATTTGTAACAATACTTTAAGAAGTTTTCACGCTACACAAAATGTCATGATATTTTTTGTTTCTGACTTGTGGTTGGAACAGATGAAGTAGAGCCACATCTTTTAAAAAGATAATGTAAAAATGATTAATCCAGTGATTTGTGTTCAACATCTCACAGACTGCACTGCGTTAAATCCGTTTAAACAGGAGTAGTTATGCTCTCTTATTAATCAGTTTTAAGAACTGACAAAATCCATGAGGTGCTCAAAGTTACACGCGTCACGACCGGCAGACTCTGCTGAAAATTGGAAAATATTACATTGGTTCACGCTTGGGAGGTGATCGAGTGTCTGATTTGATTTTCATCTGCAATATGACTGAAATGTCCCTGACTCAGACACTCAGCTGAAAGGGATAACATTAGTGTGGTTAGCAGTGTCGCGTTGTCTGTGTCTACTTACAGTAAAACGGGTCTTCTCTTAGACAGGCCTGCTAATCCTGCTCCCTGTGTGTTTCAGGCATGAGGAGGGTGGGACGGAAGCAGGAGCAGCAGGGTCAGTCCGGCCCCCCGCACCACCAGGGGGCGCCGGGAGAGGGGCGGCCTGGCGAGCGGAGAGCGGACAGACGACCTCCGCGCGAGAGGCGCTTCGAGAAACCGGCCGAGGACAAACCTGAAGGAGGAGAAGCCTCTGTGGAGAAGTGAGTCAGCACTGAGGACTTAAACACAGACTCCTACCAAACTACGTCCACTTCGCAGACTGACCGCCCGGCACACGGGCGCAGGTTTGGTTTCAGAACTTTAGACGGGTTTGGTTTCAGACCTTTAGACGGGTTTGGTTTCAGACCTTTAGACGGGTTTGGTTTCAGACCTTCAGACGGGTTTGGTTTCAGACCTTCAGACTGGTTTGGTTTCAGACCTTTAGACTGGTTTGGTTTCAGACCTTTAGACGGGTTTGGTTTCAGAACTTCAGACTGGTTTGGTTTCAGACCTTCAGACTGGTTTGGTTTCAGACCTTTAGACTGGTTTGGTTTCAGACCTTTAGACGGGTTTGGTTTCAGACCTTTAGACTGGTTTGGTTTCAGACCTTTAGACGGGTTTGGTTTCAGAACTTCAGACTGGTTTGGTTTCAGACCTTTAGACGGGTTTGGTTTCAGAACTTCAGACTGGTTTGGTTTCAGACCTTTAGACGGGTTTGGTTTCAGAACTTCAGACGGGTTTGGTTTCAGAACTTCAGACTGGTTTGGTGTCAGACCTTCAGACGGGTTTGGTGTCAGACCTTCAGACGGGTTTGGTGTCAGACCTTCAGACGGGTTTGGTGTCAGACCTTCAGACGGGTTTGGTTTCAGACCTTTAGACCGGTTTGGTTTCAGAACTTCAGACGGGTTTGCCTTCAGACCTTCAGACGGGTTTGGTGTCAGACCTTTAGACGGGTTTGGTTAGTTAACCATAGCTCAGTAAAGCCCTATTCAGACAGGATTAGTTGACCATAGGCAGGTGGGGTAACGCCAGATTACCTCAGGACGTCTGTAATGTTAATGATCGATTCACACGGATTAGAAATCTCTGTATAAATGGTGAAGATGGTCTGCTTTATTTACGCAGTGCTTTCGCTTCAGATGAAAGTAGAACACACTTTTTAGCCGTGATTTTGTTGACCCTACAGTTTACCTTGCTGTCCAAACTAAATGCAGTGTGATTAGCATTACCTTTGGCTTGGAAAGTCGCAGTCAACAGTCAGCTTCACTGCATGAAATCAGACTTTTTTTCTGTGGTTTTTAATTTTCTGAGTTTTTAATTTTCGCATCGGCTTGATTTTAGCCACAGAGAACACAAGTAAACACTTATTTGAGCTTCCATACTTAATAAACTCCTTTTCCACAGAATAAAGTTGGTTTCACCAAAATGTTAAATCATAAGGAGCAAATATAATCTGAGCTTATTCCTGCGGCTCATTTCATGGAAGGTAAAAGACGCCAGAATCTTTACTGGCAGATGGTGAAAATAATTCGGACGGCAATGAAATCCAAAAAAACGACTGAAGTAAAGCCTGTCCAGCCGAACAGGGCTTAAATTGCAGCGTTTCGCTGTTTTATCTCCTAAAGCAGAGCGAGAAAAGTGTAACGTTGTTAAAGTCAGTGCTGACAGAGTGGATTATCCTCTCACTGAATGACGTTCAGCTCCTCTTTTCTTTGTTAGTCCATTGAAAATTTAACACTAATTTAGACATTAATGCAGTCACTGCTCAGTACTCTTAATGTAAACATAGAAATGGGTGCAGCGTAGCTATATAAACAGGTGGAGGCAGGTGTCACATAACTGTAGAAACAAGTGTAGCTTAACCATGGAAATTGATGTGTATACCATGGAAACAGGTAATATCCTAACCCTGGAAATCGTATCTTTGGCTCTTAGCCCTCCATTGAGCGCTAAGTATTGAGAGTAGTGCAGATATATTTTGGAAAATACTTTTGCAGCCAATCAGAACAGAGCTCGTTTGCATATATCAGTTTTACAGCCGCTGTAACAAAAGCAGCCTGTTCATTTGAAAGAGATAAATGGAGCTTGTAAAATGTTTCTGTATTTAATTTTTTATTTTCTGTGTTTCCTCAGGCCGGTGGGCGACCGGCCCCCTCGGGGTCGCGGCGGTGGGCGCGGAGGCCGGGGCGGCCGTGGGCGGGGCATGGGCCGAGGAGACGGCTTCGACTCGCGGGGCAAGCGTGACTTTGACCGACACAGTGGCAACGACAAATCGTGAGTTTGTTTGTTTTTGTAGCTCAGGTTGGTCTCAGCCTGGCTCAGTTCTGTAAATTAGAGCGGATCCCCGAGGACTCGGCGTCGCTCAGCTGCGTTTTCTGTTTCAGAGGACAGAAAGCGGACGATAAACGAGGGGGAGCCGGCTCTCACAACTGGGGCAGCACCAAGGAAGAAGCCAGGTAGAGTCATATAGAGCAGCAGCACATGCTCACTGACACCACGGCCTTAACGAGTAATTAGACACGTGCAGGTAGATAATCACAGCTGCAGGGTTGGTGAGGTGAATCAGAATTCTGTCTGAATACACTACAGTCACTGTTTATACAGTAGAGGAATACAGACAGTAAAAACTGGACACCAGGCTTTTTCTGTTGAATTGTTTTGTTTGCTTATGTATTTTTTAAATAGTCTGAGCATTTTATTTTGGGAAAGACAATACTTTTAGAAGTGCAGCAAACTGGAAATTGCGGAATGAAATTTTTCACCTAGACATCTGCTTCTTTATACTAATTCTCTGTTAGTTCCACTACTATCGGAATAATATTTTAATAGATTATTGAACCCACCATTTCACAACTGATGCATCGGAAATTTATATATAAATGCATACATCCATGCATACAATAACTCTTCTTAAAATTGTGTAATATGTAAATATAAATTGTAGAAAATTAAAAAATTGATTATGTATGAATATGAATATGTATATGTAAACCAATGGCTAAACATGGGAGTAAATGATTAGTTGTATTTAATAATTTGCAGAGGCCTGAACACTGTAATTGTACAGTAACTGACAGTACAGTGTACAATAACAATGCCTTTGTGAATGATAGGATAATATTATTTATAAATGATGTATATTATTCTATTTTGTGATAATATCTGGGAACTTATGTCCATTTTTAATAGTTTATGATCTGGAAATATGATTTGTAAACACATACTAATGGTAATAAAAATAGGTTCTGCTTTAGTTTCGGTTTAGCAAATTCATCAATAGACACATCTTAAAGGTATTTTATTATTTAGCACACTACTTTTAAAGGAATTTGTAGACATTTGTAAGCTCCTCTTTAAACCATCATATGATGTCCAATTAATAAACATGTAAATAACAAACACACAAGTTGTATTTTGCTCTGAAATTCTCTGCAGTTTCCCTCAGAATTAAGCTATCGGTCTTATTATCTTAGACCCGTATTGTGATTATGTAGATAACGCTTGGCTCACACTGTGTTTGTGTTGGTGTGTTTAGCAGTGAGGTGGACCAGTCGGCTGCTCCTGAGGCACCTGCGGAGGGGGAGGAGCATGCACCTGCGGACTCGGAAAACAAGTGAGTGACGCAAAGCCCCACCTCCTGCAGCAGTAGACCAATGAAACGCCAGCGAGTCTGTTGGTGGGATCAGGTTGAGGAGGTCTGTTGTGTTAAGGCGGTCTTGAAAAGCCTGAGTGTACCGCAGGCTGACTGACGGCTGTCCTAAATTATCGGGGTAAGAAAGTTCCCTGAGTTTACGGCAAATCCCCAGCCAGTACAGTCTCTGTTACCATGGCAACACCACAGCGCCAGCTGCCATTGGTGCACCCAGCATAGTCTGCTGAAGGTTTCGCTTTAAGAGACATTTGAACACGAGCGCTACGATAACGGATTCTCTCAGAGCGTCTTACAGCGCTGCAGCTGGGCTTCAGCCTGCAGTGCTGCGGAAAATACCTCAACAAAGCCCAGAAAATATTACCATTAACATGGTGCGTTAATAGTATGTAATTAATCATGATTATGGTTAATGTAGCTGAGTTTGCAGTCCTGGGTCTGCTGCACTGTGACACTGAGCTGAATCGACTCTGATGGTTAAGGTGCCCCGAACTTGATGAGTGAAAGTAAATGTGTTAAATTCCGTCTCTCTGATTCAGGACTGAGTCGTATTTGAAACTTGGTCCTCCTGTAGGAGCCGTCTTGGCTTTATGTATGTATATGTGTTTTATGTCGTTTATCTTTTATCTATTTGGGTATCACACTTCAGTCCACTAGGGGGCGATGTGCACCAGGTGGTGGGTGAGCTGGCACAGCTGAGGGTTTTTATAGCTGCAACACGATTAGGGTGGGTGGAGGTTTGCAGTAAATCACACTGGATTATAATGCTGTAATCTAGTGAAGAATGATGATAATCAGTAGTGATAATAAGTCATATTTGGGAATAAATATGGGGAATAAACACAGTTTGTGTGCCCTGGTGAAACCCTGGCTGTTGTTTTTCTAAGTGTGAATAAGTTAACACATCCTCTACAGACAACACACTCATCACACTTAATGCACAGTTGCTGTTCATTTACTGAATTTAACATTTTGGGGGGGGGATAAAATGTGATCTGTGCAAAAGTTATGGCACACCTTATTTGTAATACTTTTTTTTAATATAATAACTTCAGCAAATAGATAATATTGTGGAGTAATATGATTTGTCTTTTCCGAGGACGTGTAAACTTATTTTCACTTCAAATCAACAAAAACATGTTCTTTGACCGGGGTGCTCAAACTTCGTTAAGGACATCGTTAAGGACGTGACTAGTGCTGCGTTCACCTGCTTGCACTGGGAAAAAAAAACGTTGTTCTCAATCTTCATAGCAGTGCAGGGTTAATGGCGGCATGAAGCCGCGTAAACATTTACGTGGTGACCGCGGTGCAGACAAAAGGAGGAGATTTGTCTCTACTACCATCCCCATCTTCGACGAGGTGAGGTGTTTCTGATCAGGCAGTGTGTCTTGAGCCTTAACAGTATGAGCCGCTGATGAGTTTACGCAGTGCCAGGAAATGATTAACAGCGAGCGGCAGAGGCGTCTGAATCATCACTATCAGTCCATAAACTCTAAGAGGCATAAGAACATCAGAGTTGGTGCATAAATAGAAAGGTGTTTATGTTCTGTGACTGTTTAGATGCCACGTGTTGGAGCTCAGAGTTCAGAATAGAGGCAGCTGAGTGTGGATATTTTATTTGTGTATATGAACCATAATGTGTGTTTCCCATTTCTACAGGGAGAACGAGGTGGAGGAGGTGAAGGACGAAGGCCCTAAGGAGATGACCCTGGACGAATGGAAGGCCATGCAGAATAAAGAACGAGCCAAAGTGGAGTTTAACATCCGGAAACCCAACGAAGGAGAAGACGGCCAGTGGAAGAAGGGTTACGTCCTGCACAAGTCGAAGAGCAAAGACGCCGGAGTGAGTGCAGCACACTGACTCCACCACACTTACAGACTGTTCATGTGGAGGTGGAGTTCCTGAGAAACACCAAACACACTGAAGTGAAGTGCTGTTAGGTTTCACTGAGTAGAAGGGTAGAACTGATGTGAGACCAGGTTTGGTGCTGATATCAGCAGAAGATAGGATGGGATAGGATATCAGAAAGGAAAGAATGATTGTGGTCATTCTTTGGGTGTAGTGTAATTCAAGTTGATCTGCCCCCCCAGCCATCGCTGAGTAAGCTACTGTGGGCGGGACCTGGTGGGCAGGCAACCAAGCCACCACTTAAAAAAAAATAATAATAATGAATCATATTAGATCAGGAGAAGCCGAAACACTGATAGTGTGATGTGTCAGTTCTCTAAAGCATTAGCAGCAGCGCATCAGTGCTGTGTGTGTTTTTCAGAGGCCGTCTGGAGGACTGATTGAAGCTGGAGACGCTGATGCTGACACACTCCATAAGGTACCACCCCCATTTTTTCTTGCTTAAAAACATTGTAAGGCTGTAAAGTTCAGTATTTGAGGCAGTGCTGAAGCTCTAAGATTCAGTATTTGAGGCCATGCTAAAGCTGTAAAGTTAGTAATAGAGTCAGTGCCAAAGCTGTAAAGTTCAGTATTTGAGGCTGTGCTAATGCTCTAAGGTTCAGTATTTGAGGCAGTGCTGAAGCTCTAAGGTTCATTATTTGAGGCAGTGCTGAAGCTGTAAAGTTCCGTATTTGAGTCAGTGCTAAAGCTCTAAGGTGCAGTATTTGAGGCAGTGCTGAAAGCTGTAAAGTTCAGTATTTGAGGCAGTGCTGAAGCTCTAAGGTTCAGTATTTGAGGCCGTGCCAAAGCTGTAAAGTTCACTGTGGCTCCTTGTGTCCTCAGGGCGCCTCTGAAGAAGGTGCAGGTGACCATCACTTCCGCAAACCGGCCAATGACATCACTTCCCAGCTGGAGATCAACTTTGGAGACCTGGGTCGCCCTGGCCGTGGGCGGGGAGGCTCCCGCGGGGGTCGAGGAGGGCGAGGGGGCACCCGGGCAGGTCGTGGAGGCAGCAGGGCTGAGAAGGTAATATATATATATATATATATTCATAGAAGTATTTCATATCTCTGAGCTGTAGTTATGCACTCAGAGCTTTTTTGAAGCACCATATTCATTAGTCATCTCAAAATTCACGACTTGAATGAAAAGAACAGTTTTCATATGACACTTTGCTCGTGTGGAGCTTATGAGTTATGGAAAGTTATGAACCAAAGAATATGAGGCAGGTCAGTGGTTCCATGGTGTTTTAAATCGTCAGTAGCTTGCATGTAAACACAATCAAAACAGGGTTAAAAATGTAAGTTACAGCTGCCGTTACTGATGTAAAAAGCTCAGCACTAAACTGTGATAAACTGTAAGTACAGAATACTGTGAGAGCGCCCCCTGCTGTTTATCAGAGCGTCGCCGCTCCCCAGTTTCAGTCTCCATTTCCCAAACGCTTTAGCCGAGCGCGCTAACGTTACTCCTCCTAATAAACAGACACACGTTCAGCTCCGTCTCCTCATTATTCACCACCATCACTGTAATATTTCATCATCAACTTTAACACACGAAGGTGATCAGAGGGGCGGTAGAGATCGAGTCTGCAGCGTCTGAGATCTTTAAAACGCAGAGTTAGAAAAGAAAATCATCTCACAGTGAAAGCAGCGTTTTACAGTAGAGATAAATGGAGCTCATTATGCTGGTAGTGAACTATGCTGCTGACACAGCTGCCTAAAAACCATAGAAACGGACCTTAAACAGAAGTGAGGACCCTGTTGGGGTTCATCCTAAAGTTAGGACAGGATTTAGGAGGTTTAGTCTAGTTAGATGTTTGTGTGATGCTGTTTTCTTATCTGGAGTTCATGATGAGATTATGAAGTCAGGAACTGTTATTCTGTAATAGCCACTGTCCTGATTTCAGTCCGTACTGAAGTCGTCATGGAGAAGTAGGGTGTAATACGGCCCGAGGGGCAGAAATTAAAATACCAACGAGGTTCTGATACCTGGCTTTGCTGAACAGTCGTGTGATGTAATGTATATTTTGTTTTGTTTTTGTTTTGTTCTTTTTTCAGGGTGGTGGTGTGTCCGTTCCTAACGTGGACGACCCGGAGGCGTTTCCTGCCCTGGCCTAAGCCCCACCCACCCGCCCCTGACCCCTCCTCTGCGAGGCTTGCATGCTTACGGATTCTTCGACTATAGAAACCAGAAAAGAAAAAAAAAAATTAATCTGAAAGAGAGACTGTCATCCATACCATAACTCTGAGGACTGGATTCTGCCTTTATTGTAAAGGATAAACAAAAAAAACACCCACAAACACGGACTTCTCTTGTTACACTGAAGCAAATTCTTGGTAGAGGTTTTGTATTTAGAGACATGATAGCAGGGATGTTCATACAGGTGTTCTCTTTTGTTTGTTTTTGGTTTTGTTTAGGTTGTGCGTTCTCCATGAATATTATTTTTTATTTTTATTGCTGTTTTGAATGTATGCATTTCCGGAGTAGGATATTTGAAGTGCGTGTTGTTTTGGCTTCAGCTTCCTGTCTCCTCACCTCTCCTGTGTGTGTGGTGTGTGTGTGTGTGTGGTGTGTGTGTGTGTGTGTAATTCTGAGCGTCATTTGCAGCAGAACGTGGAGTGTGAAGAGACCTCCAATGCTAATTTTAATGTTTATATACACGATTAACGTGTAACTTACTATTTTAAGTGTTTTTAAAGGAGATTTCCACCAGATTTCTCTAAATTTAAACTGGTTAAGATGTAAACAGAGTGGTTCAGAGTGGTTCAGTGTGAAACTCTGTTCTAGATAAACTTACCGAGTCAGAACTGTTCACAGTGGTGGTGATAGGAACCAGACGTCCACCTCTAAAAGCTCCCTCACAGAAAGTTCCTGCATGAAATGGTTATGAATTCACTGCCTGATGACTGAGACTCTGTTTTATGATAGTTTTGTGAACTTAAACTCCATTCATGGTGGAGGGATACATGCAGGGCGCTGTGAGGCAAAATAGTCCCCAAAAAAAAACTTATTATTTCAGATTTTCCACTATTTTCCATCATCAACATTCCATATAAACTCAGAAGACATGAGGGCTGAACGATTGATCATTTAGTTCTAACAAAATTGAAGTGTGTTCAAATTTGATTGCAATGTATTTTTTTTTAAGGTTTAGGTGGGGAAATTTAACCTGACAGTGCAAAACTACATTCACTGTTAAAAAACATGGATATGCTGGGCTATTTCAGAGAAAAATGGCCTGGAGCTTAATTTATCGTTCAGTCCTGGAAGACACACTGGTGGTTCTGGATAGTAAATAAAATGTCTATATTTGTGTTGTAGTCATGGTGACCCCTGGTTCCTATCACCACCACTGTAAAGACATCTGAACCGTTTCACACCAAACCATTCTGAATCTCTCTGTCTACATCTCACACACAATTATCAAGTAATTTTGGTGGAATTCCCCTTTAATGGAAGCTCTGAGGTCATATTGTTCTCCAGTTTAATTTTTTTTTAGTTTTATTTTGTTTTATTTTCGAGGGGGGTGTCTAGCTTGGCCTGTAGCAAAAAGTGAACGCCTATTATTATTATTATTATTATTATTATTATTAATTATTATTTTCCCCTTTCTTTTCTTTCTCTCCCCTCGTTCTCGTTTTCTTCTGTAGTTCTGTTGTCCTGTGGTGGACCAGTGATATTTCTGATGTACCTGCTCGTCTTTATCCCCCAGATTTGTTCCAGGCTGGTCCTCGTGCGTCATGTGCGTTCACCTTTTAGACACCTTGGGATCACTTTTTTGAAGTGCGTGTGAGCGAGCGAGCGAGTGAGAGAGTGGCGTTCCGTGTGAAGTACTCCTCTGCCGTGAGCTTATTCTTCTGAACTTAGATTGTGAGCTGGAGCGAGTCGCGTTCTGAACTTTTACTGTTTTATTTGGAGTTTTTAGTGAGTTTTAGCTCAGATTGTTGACATATCTTGCACTTAGATTAACGATGATCTCTAATATCTAGCTAACAAGCACACGCTCTGTCCCCGTGTTAGTGTCGTATCTCTTTTCCGTTGCTCTTGTGAACTTTGCTGTGTTTTTCCGTTGGTTTAATTCGGATCATTACGACAGCACTACTGCGCGTTTCTCGGAGGAGGAGAATCTCGGCTGGTGGTGGATCGGCAGCGCGGATGGAGGGTCCGTTCTGACCCTGGTGGGAGAACTAAGGGGAAGACACTAGTCCATTAGACTCAAAGCTTCCAGTTTTGTTTTTCTTTTTTTCCACTCCGCTGACCGCTAGCCTCGGCCCAGAAGGTGCAGGACGACTCCACGACTCGACTCTTTCTGTGACTCGATTGTTTATTTGCCGGACGTTTCTGCATTCAGATAATATCCCTGTTCAATAAATCGCCTAGAGGTGTTATGTGAATTCTGCCTGCGGTGGTCTGTGTCTCATTTTTACATGCAGTTACACCAAAAAGGGTAAAACGTTTCATATACACTGTGGCCAAAAGTATGTGGACATACTAACTCCTAATTATCGTCAACATATGTATAAAATCAAACCCAAATGCTGACAGTAGAGGGTCGTACTGAAGACCTCAGTGACTGTAAACATGGCACTGTCATCTGTGCCACAAGTTAGTCTGAAATTTCTGTCCTGCTAGATCTGCCCCAGACAACTGTAAGTGCTATTATTGTGAAGCAACAACAGCTCAGCCATGAAGCGGTAAACCACGTAAACTCACAGAAGTCTGTTGTGCATAAAAATCTATCCTCTGTTGAATCACTCACTCCAGAGCTCCGAACTGCCTTTGGAAGCAACAAGATCTGAGCATCAGAAGCTTCATGAAATGGGTTTCCATGGCTGAGCAGCTGCACACAAGCCTAAGATCACTATGCACAATGCCAAGTGTCGGCTGGAGTGGTGTAAAGCGCCACTACTGGACTCTGGAGCAGTGGAAACGAGTTCTCTGGAGAGATGTATCACACTTCACTATCTGTCAGTCTGATGATGAATCTGGGTTTGGTGGATGTCAGGAGAACGTTACCTACCGGAATGCAGAGCCAGCAGTACAGTTTGGTGGAGGAGGGATGATGGGCTGGGCTGTTTATATAGTGTATTTAGCTGGGGACGCACTGACCATGAGTTTTTAAAGGCTGATTCTGATTTCATATGTTTTGTCACCTTATTTTTACATTACTTCATCGTTTTGGCAGCGGAGAGAGCTTATAAACAGTAATATGTGAGAGAAATTTGGTGTTCCTAGGTTGTTGGTTTGGTACATCAAGCCACGCTAAGCTTTTCGAATGTCCAGGCTATTTAAAACTCTACAAGTTCAGCAGAAAAGGTACAGATTCCCCCTTTACTCTAAATATAATCAGTTTACCAAGAGATGTTTGGTGTCTAAAGTTTCATTCTTTAGTTTAACTGCAGCTGTGAGGCTAATATAGCTAAGTAAAGGGAGATTATTAGCATCAGAACTGTTAGCATGTTGCTAAATGAATGCCTAAATCTTTACATGCTCTCCTCAAACTGTATGGAGATGATGTTCAGTATCTCTGATAGACTTGTAGTTTCTGGCGCTGTATGATAAACTTATCTATGAACGTGGACTAAAGTACATTAGCATAGCTGAAAACAGCAGCAGCAACTTAAAGCCTGAGTTTTGTTTGTACTTTTGTTTAAAAGAGTAAAGCAGCTTTACGGTTAGCGAACGCCTTGATTGACTAAATCTGAGACGAGGAGAAAACTGGAAAAATTATATTTTTGCTTAATTATTTCTTTAGCGTCATTAGCTTTTAGCATTTTAGCTTTAGCTGTTCGTGTTACCAGTATGTGTTACATAATCAGTAGTGGAATACAATAAAAACAATTATTTCATATTTGTTTATTTACATTTTATGATTTTGTGATTTGTCTGACCAAAATTAGTGCACAGTCAATATCATTACTGCTTATTCTCAATGATGACATTCTAAAATCAACAGCTCTCAGGTTCAGTGGAGGTTTATGAAATGTGTACCACAGCATGGTGGTCACTTTACCACCTTCGGTCAACTGCAGCAGTGAAGCTTGATTGTTACATTAGGCCTTCAGTTTGGGCCAAAAACACACACACACATCATCTAAACCGCTTATCTTTCTGGGTCGTGGTGGGGTGCTGGAGCCTATCCCAGCTGTCATTGGGCGGAAGGCAGGATACACCCTGGGCAGGTCGCCAGTCCATCGCAGGGTGGGCCAAAAACAAACAAACCAAAAAAAAAAATGAAAAACTATAACTACACTAATGCTAATTTCTGCTAGCGCCCTTATGGGATTCTAGTGGTATGTTAGCACTAAGCTAACAGCGGTTCACATGAACATTTTTTGGCTGCTGTGGATTAAACAGACATTTGAAGCTTAGAGATTATCATGTATCTGATCTTGTTTGTGTTACAGAGTCAGTACAGAGTTCTGACACAGAGCTGCTGCTGCTGTTTAACATTCCTAACAACTAAGCGGAACACTGCTTAGATTACAGCACATATTCACAGTCAGTGACGTATCTAGAACTTCCAGAAGGACCAGATTTTTCTCTATACTCATTGTGAAGCCGGGTGCAATTGGTTGATTCCTGTGTCACTTCCCAATTATGTTGGTAGTTAATGAAGCATGTAAAGCCTTCAGTCCAGCTCCTGAAGTCCTAACCAATGGGAGAGCTCGCTGGGCTACCCAGCCAGCAGACACCACAGAGAGAACAATCCTAAGAGTATCCTGACAGTACTTAGAGTTTAAAAACATAGTTAAATAAAATTAATTGAGTTAACCCTCTACTGCATGCATTATGAGCACAATTTAATATATTTATATACATATATATATATATATATATATATATATATATATACATTAGATTCACTTTTCTTGCATAAAATCTGATTATTAAATTCAAAAACATTTTTTAAATAAAAATGTGTGCAGGGGTCATCAGGAGTCTGTTCCCTGAAGTGGTGAGCTTTTGACTGGCTGAATCCATTCCACTGCCCTACAGTGTTGCTTCTAGGCAACAAACATACTTCTGCAAATTCTCATAACAAAACTTGATAATGAAGGTTAGAAAAGAGACTCTTCCCTTTATTAACTCTGTCATTGTTATTAAATATGTATAATGTTATTGTAAAGTGAGCAAAATGTTTGTTGCCCTGAGGCAACATCATGCAATAGAGGGTTAACAGAAATCATTAGATGTTCTCTTCGGTTCCTCGAAGGTTCCCCTTTGCTCTACTGTCCTGCTGTTCTTCTTGTCGACCCCTCCGGCCCTCTGACCTACTCCTGTACACTCCTGCAGACCGGCTCTGAAAGTGCCGAGTCATCTGCACTCAGCTTTTTCCAACTCTGGCTGAAGCAGGAAGTGGACAGTTTGAACTTTTATTGTGGAATTCAGTCACCAAAATGATCAGTTTTAAGCATCATCACAGTGATTTTGTCAAAATATACAAAAACAAGCTCTAATATACACTGAAATAGTTTACACACAGGTAAATTAACATATATATATATATATATATATAGACACAAAGAAAAGAAATTGTAACCCAGATAACTCTGATGAACACCTGAGCAGGTGTAAGTCAGAAGTTTGGGGACACCTTGCGGTTTTAATTCAAATTAGATCAGATCCTTTATTAGTCCCACAGTGGGGGAATTCACAGAGCCACCGCAGCAAAGGGACAGCAAGAAAAAGAAGTAACGAGAGAATAAAGTTTTAACCTTGTTAGTTACTTAACACGGTTACAGTTTGTTACAGTTTGTTACTTTTATAAGTACTTAATTTTAATTAAGTTATTCTTTTAAGTTAGTTTTTGTGTCAAACTGTCAGTTTTAAACATTTGAGTTAATAGTAGCTGAAATGTTGACTCTGGCTTGATATTTAAAAACCCCGGGTTTGGGTGTACTTCCCCTTTAAGCGTATCCTGTCCGGCGGAGCGTTGGTTGGACCTCAGTGATCAGGCAGGCAGCATGGCGGAGCTGAGGGAGCGGAGATCCGAGCGGAGCAGAGAGGAGTTGGAAGAGCAGCGCGGCTCTGAGGGGTCAGCGCTGCTCCTCAACCTACTGACCGCTCTGTTTTACGGACTCAGCTCTTTCCTCATCGTCGTGGTCAACAAAAGCGTCCTGACCAGCTACAGGTGAGCTTTTCCTGTTTCTCTGTTTCTCCCAGCGGAGGGAAAAGTTCAGCTGGACTACTGATCACACACACACACACACACACACACACACGATACACACACACCGATACACACACACACACACACACACACACACCGATACACACACACACACACACACACGACACACATACACACACACACACACAGATACACACACACACACACACACACTGATACACGGTCACATACACACACACACACACTGATACACACTCACACACACACACACACTGATACACGGTCACACATACACACACACACACACTGATACACACTCACACACACACACACAGAGATACACACACACAGATACACACTCACACACACACACACTGATACACACTCTCACACACACACACACTGATACACACTCACACACACACACACACACACACACACACTGATACACACACACACTCACACACACACCCACTGATACACACTCACACACTCACACACACACACACACAACCACACTGATACACACTCACACACACACACACACACACTGATACACACACACACTCACACACACACCCACTGATACACACAGATACACACTCACACACACACACTGATACACACTCACACAGACACACACACACACTGATATATACATACATACACACTCACACAGACACACACACACACACACACACTGATACATACACACACTCTCACTGATACACAAACACACACACACACAGAAGAGAATAATGTGGTGTTTTACTGACAGTAAACTCAGTGGTGTCACTACGATCCCTGCTGAAAACATTCATAGAAACTGTTAAGTGTGTCTGTTGGTTCCTGATGGTTCTGTAATGTGTTTTGGCTTTTTTAATGGGTTGATATCACAGTGTAAAGGATCCTAATGGTTTTTTTATTTGATGGTCTCCTAATGGGATCTAAAGGTGTTGTACAGCTCGGACGCACTGGCCTTTCATACATACAACGTTTGAGCTGCAGAGCAGCGAGAAAGTTATACAGACATTCCTTTGACCAGACAGATAAATGGTCACTTCAGTTGCTCTAAACAACAAAAATATGATTTATAAAAGTGCATGGTATGTTTGTTTATCCTCGACAGCATTCTGACTTGTGATTAGACAAAAAGGCCAAGCCTGGTAGACCAGCTGGGAAATCTGTCTGCAGCACAGAACGTTTAACTAGTGTTTAACTGGGTTTTCTGTTTAATTTTATTTTAGTGTATTTTGCTGTGTGACACAGCAAAAACACTGCGGTGCTTCAGTGCGGCGTCTGGGACTCACACACACAGCCTGAATGAAAGCGCTGACCAGTTAACATGGACACCGAAATGAAAAGAGAATCTCCACAACGCTCGCGCCTCGCAGAAACAGTATACGTGAATCAGGCCTATGAGAATCTGAGTGTTGTTCACGTGATCAGCTGCTCGCAACTCTTTAGAATGACTTCATTCACTTGAACTGCTTTACTGTTATCATTTTATATTGTTTATATATGATTTAGTGATCGTTCTACTTTGTTTAGGTTATTCATTAATTTGAGGGATTTCTCTTCATGCGTGCTCAGTCCCGCTCCCACCTGCAGTGGGCTGGTTTCCCGCTCCCGCACGCAACACAGAAAATTAGTCTCGCGCCACAAGATATTGTTGAGGGTGCAGACCTTTATTTCAGAGGAATCTGTGCAGAGTTACAGTAACAGACTGAAGGAACAACTGGGTGAACCAGTCTGCTACAGCGCCACCCTGAGGCAGAGCAGTGCTGCAGCTCTAGTTAGTTAAGAACACCAAAGACAGAAGCTGATTGTGGTGGAAGCAGATAAACAATGAGCTTCACTGAATCTGGATTTGAGCGTCTGTTTTTCTCTAACAGACAGTATAATGTCAAAAAAAAGTTTATTTTTAGGAACACTGCAGAATTTTGAGACATTCAGGGGGTCCAAGAGGTTAATTAGGGTTGTCCCGGACCCCCCAGGACCTCTGTATTTCACACCTCAGTCACATGGATTTGTTCAATTTCATCAGCCATAATATTAAACCCACCTCCTTGTTTCTACGCTCATTGTCCATTTTATCAGCTCCACTTACTATATAGGTGCACTTTGTAGTTCTACAGTTACAGACTGTAGTCCATCTGTTTCTCTGATACTTTGTTAGCCCCCTTTTACCCTGTTCTTCAGTGGTCAGGACCCCCATGGACCCTCACAGAGCAGGTACTATTTGGGTGGTGGGTCATTCTCAGCACTGCAGTAACACTGACGTGGTGGTGGTGTGTTAGTGTGTGTTGTGCTGGTGTGATCGTCTGATGAGCCCCATGTTAACGTTAACGTTTCTGTTTCAGGTTCCCCTCGTCTCTCTGTGTAGGGATCGGTCAGGTAAGAGCTCTTAATCACACAGTGCACTCAGTAATCTCCTCAGTAACTGACCTTTAAAGACAGAGTCAGTGAACCAAGTCCATTTCACAACAGGAAACAACTGATTTTAAAGCGATTGTTTGGTAGACAGAATCAGATTCCTCCACTGTCCTAACCCTCCCCAAACATGGTTAGTCAGCTGAAACATTTCTGGACTGGTTTGCGCCGGTTTTCCGTAAGTTTACGCTTAAGTTTTGGCGTAAAGTCTTTACTGAATCTTTAGTTACGCTAGTTAGTTTCAAACTGACCTTTCACTAAATTTGGTTGCACCGCAAATCCGTAAGTCGTGTCTTAACTAGTAACTAATGTGTAACGTGTACGTCAGAACCAATCAGTAAACCCGCTGAACCCGGAAACGCAGCGGCAGTTGGCTCTGACTTTCTCCATTGATAAATATCCAGTCTAGAAAAGAACAGTGTGTACAGGTTAAACTGAATAAACTGATGATCTGTTTATTCATTAATATTTCACTGAGAAACTAAATACGCAATTTTTTAAACAACGGTTTCTGAATAACCGACACAACAGCAGCCTCAGTTTAGCCGTTTGTGCAGCTGCTGAGTCTCTGAGCTGGAGCTGTGGGTGTTTAGCTTCATGCTCAGAGTTTAAACCAGGCCACTGATTAGAGCTGTAAGCAAAATCATAGCTATAGTGTTGAAATCACAGCTGTAATATTGACAAGGGTTCTACATAGAACCATTTACAGCACGTTCTCCATCAGTCTAAAGAACACTTTCACGATGCAAGTATTATAATAGACAAAAGAGCGCTCGGTATGCAGTGGAGCACAGTGGCAGAACTTCAAAAAGAAACTATACTCACAAAAAGATGGTTCTTCAGGGGTTCTTTAGCAAAGAAAGTGGTTCTATATAGAACCACGAACACTGAAAGAACCTTTTGCATGGGGAAATGGTTCTTCAGACTGATGTAGAGTGTGCTGTAGATGGTTCTATTTAGAAACTTTTTGAAAATGGTTCTATGTAGCACCTGAAAGGGTTCTTCTATTGTTATGATGTCAAGCTTGTAGCAATAGAAGAACCCTTTTGGGTGCTACATAGAACCATTTTCAAAAATGTTCTACATCTGCGTCGCATTCATGCACATATTCTGTCAATCTGTAGAACGCTTTCATGATGCAAAGAACCCTCTAACCATGCAGGAGGTTCCTTGAGTGTACCATGATGGCTTCTGGGTAATTGAGTCCGTACCATAGTCTGTTGACTCAGGTGAGCCAGCATGAGAAGGTGAAACCAGGCTGTAAACAGGAAGCGCGACATCTTATAACGAATGATTTTAAGTTTCATACTTTCAGTGATGCTGTTTCTGTTCAGGGGAAATACAGAGTTCAGCTGTGTTGCTGTGCTTTAGAAACTCCAGATCAGTTTTACTGTAAAAGTGATTTATTTTTTATTTATTTATTTGTTTATTTATTTTTTACAGATGTTGGCCACAGTGGTGGTGCTGTGGGTGGGAAAAGCTCTGAAAGTGATACATTTCCCCGATTTTGACAGAAATGTCCTGCACAAGGTACCCTGCACTACACTGGTGACACTTTTTCATGTGTGCTCAACTGTGCTGTGAAAAAATATCTGCCCCTTCCTGATTTCTTCAGTCACACTGACCTATGACCTGGAGCAGTGGTGAATCTTCGGCTCATCCAGGAAATCACAAAAGAACATCTCAGAAAGGCCACAGATGAGGTCAGCGTTCATGATTCCACCTTTAGAAAGAGGAAATAATGGTATCTGCAGGAGAGCTGCAGGGCCAAAACACTGCCAACCAAGGGAAACATAAACCTGTCACACATTTGCCTAAAAACACCTTGATGACATTTGGAAGTTCTGTGGACCGTGGAACTTTTTGGAAGAGGGTTCTTGTTCCATCTGGCGTAAAGCTGACACAGCATTCCGCAATAAGACCATCATACCAGCAGTGAAACATGGTGGTGGTAGTGCGATAGCTTTGCTGCTTCAGGGCCTGGACGACTTGAGACTTAAGCTTCGTGACTTTTTAGTGACAGTTTCTCGTTGCACATTAAACGTATCAGCAAACCAGCTGGAGTGACTATAAATGCAAAGCAGTCCATTTGTCTCCAAATTATCAATGTTCATCTCAAATCTCTCTCTTTGCCGTTTCGTTAGCTACTAGCTAGGTGAGACTGTTGTTGCTATGGTGACCAGCAGTCTGTGCTGATCTTCAGGGTTAAAGGGTGAATTAGCAGTTCTACATTAACTCCAGAGTTTAAGACCATTTATTGTTAAACTGTGTTGAACGATCAGCAGAGCTTTATTTTACTGTAAAGGAGGATTATTTTATTTGTACCTACAGATCTGATTCTGCTGTGGAGTAAAAGAGTAGCCGACCCCTTGGCGCACGCTTTAGTGTATAAGAACTGGGTTAAGACAGAAATACGTCTGTAAAGTAACTCTGAGTTTCTCTCGTCTCTGCAGACTTTCCCTCTTCCTCTGCTGTACGTGGGGAATCAGCTGACCGGCCTATTCGGAACAAAACAAGTCAAGTAAGAGCTGAGAAGGGGGTTCATAGCGAATGTTTTGAGATATAATGAATGTTCTGAGAGTAGAGAGAGCAGCCAGAGTGGGTGTCGGGTGTCCACTGACTGGGGCTCTGTGGATACAAGTCCAAAAAACCCTAAAAATTGAAAGTCTATTGTTTGTTTGTGTGTGTGTGTGTGTGTGTGGTCAGTCTGCCGATGTTCACGGTTCTCCGGAGGTTCTCCATCCTCTTCACCATGCTGGCTGAAGGCTACCTGCTGAAGTGAGTTCAGATTTACCCTCGTGTGCATTTCGAGTGCTGTAACAGTTTTATTTCCGTTTTCTGTCTCTAACACATCTGTCTGCGTGAGCAGGAAGAACTTCTCATGGTCCATTCAGGCTACAGTGTTCACTATGATCTTCGGAGCGTTCATCGCTGCCAGGTAAGCAGAACAAAGCCCAGTGGTGACTGTAATTTCCCGAAATCTACCTCTGCCTGATTGGCTAAAGCACAGTGTGGCCCAGCTCACCATTTAGATAAATAGGACGCAGCACAGCAGAGTTGCAAGTGGACACGCACCTTCAGGCTGTATTATAAAGGAATTATTTTATAAAACAGATTTTTCAAAATTAACTGGTTAAGATGTAAACACAGCGGTTCAGGGTGGTTTGCTGTGAAATGCTCTGTTCTAGAGAAGCTTACCGAGTCAGAACTGTTCACAGTGGTGGTGATAGGAACCAGACGTCCACCTCTAAAAGCTCCCTCACAGAAAGTTCCTACATGAAATGGTTATGAATTCACTGCCTGATGACTGAGACACTGTTTTATGATAGTTTAGAGAACTTAAACTCCATTCATGGTGGAGGGATACATGCAGGGCGCTGTGAGGCAAAATAGTCCCCAAAGAAAACTTATTATTTCAGATTTTCCACTGTTTTCCATCATCAACATTCATATAAACTCAGAAGACTCGTGTAGGTTCACTGGTGGTTCTGGACAGTAAATAAAATGTCTATATTTGTGTTGTAGTCATGGCGACCCCTGGTTCCTATCACCACCACTGTAAAGACATCTGAACCATTTCACACCAAACCACTCTGAATCTCTCTGATTACACCTCACACAGTGAATTATGGGGGAATTTTGACAAATTGGGCTTCGTCTCATCCTAACAGCTGTATTGTTAGAGTGGAACAGCTGGAGTTTACACTGTAAAAATGTGGTGACGAGCTGTTTAACTGGAATTGTTAAACTCTGCAAACAAAACCAATATTTTACATTATAAACACTTCTGTTCCGTTCATCTCCATATATATGTATATATATATATAATCAGTTCAGTTAATACTGATAGTTTGTTCTATTACTCTTAAGCTTTATTATCTGTCTGTAAAGCACTTTGAGCTGTGACCAGTATGAAAAGTGCTCTATAAATAAAGATACTTTTATTAAAGATATTATAACAACAACACTGTCCACTCATTTAGACATCATGCTGTTCTCTCTGTGACGTCCAGCGCTATTAAACTGTTTATTACAGCACAGATTTGGCTTTCGACCTGCAAGGCTACATCTTTATCACCCTAAACAACGTTCTGACCGCAGCCAACGGAGCGTACATGAAGCAGAAACTGGACTCTAAGGTGCATTTAGAGTCAGTTATTCATTCAGCCTAATGAGAAACTGTAGAACAGACTCAGTTTATATCACAATACCTACATTTAGAGTCGGTTATTCATTCAGCCTAATGAGAAACTGTAGAACAGACTCAGTTTATATCACAATACCTACATTTAGAGTCAGTTATTAATTTGTAATGTATTTATTTTGTATGTGTGTAAAAAGTCTAAGTGTCAGTGTAGGTCTGTCTCAGTGTCTCTGTGTGTGTGTGTGTGTGTGCGTGTGTGTGTGTGTGTGTGTTTAGGAGCTGGGTAAATATGGGCTGCTGTATTATAACGCTTTATTCATGATCATCCCCATCGTGGCTTTAGCATATTACACTGGAGACATTGACAAAGTAAGACTTCTAAATAATAAATAATAAAATGACATTTTTCTTTTTTTTTCATCTTTTTCACTTTCATTATTGTTGAAATTGTTTCTGTTTTGGCCAAAAATATTGGTGCATCCCTGTTGTATTATTATTATTATTAGTAGTAGTAGTAGTATTATTAGTTTTATTATTATTCTTTATTTATAATACACAATATATAACATTGCAGCTCAGGTTTCACTGTGTAAATGAAACAGGCTAAATAAAAAGATCATAGAATTAAAATATCATTTTGTCTGTATATTAAATGTAATAACAGTGAAGTTCTCTGTGTTTGTCAGGCTGTAGGGTTTGATGGATGGACCGATGTGTTCTTTATTGGTCAGTTTATTCTGTCCTGTGTGATGGGGTAAGATAATACACACCTTCATCCGCCACACAAACACACACATTTACTCACACACCAGATCAGGGGTGTCAAACTCCCCCAGTAAAGGGGCCGTATTAAAAATCTCATCAGATCTGTGGGGCAGAGAAAAATGTTTTTATTTCATTGTTAATTAATGTTGAGCTGTGACCCGAACTGACCATTGTTTATTGAAAATACACAAAAAACTCAGCAGTAAAATACAGACACTTGTAGTAAACCTGGAAATATTACATGAATACTTGAAATATTCCAAAATGTAAACATCCCCAGGAGCTCAGTCTTTTAAACCCACCCGTCTGCTTGAACTGGACACCTGGCATCATTTCTTTACTGCAGGTTCATTAATACCTGGACTTAAAACTCAGCTGTTGAGCTGATGTTCAGTGTTTATATTGGCTGAACTGCAGCTGTAAGGCATTTTAGTGATATGACTGGTGTGGAATTGTGTAGAATTGAGGCAAAACCGCTGTCCAATAGACTGTTGTTGGGGTAGGAGAGTCGGAGCACATTACGTTGCAGTGCATGCTGGGTACTGAAATGAATAAAAATGACGCAAATGTAAATGAAGCACCTCAGATGACTGTGTAGCTGAAAGTTCCGATGGATTAAAAATACAAATGGCTAATTTGGCTGATTGGTGGAGTAACTGGATGTGTTGCGTGCAACTTTGATTGCTTTCTGTGACAATTAAAGTTCATTACATTGCAGGAGACTCACAGCTCGTTGAATTAAAATGGTGTTTGACACATGAGGACTAGAACACAAACAGTTCCTCACACATTAACGCTGTAACCCTTTCTTACAGACTGTAACGGAAAGCTTTCACATGCTGTAATGGAACTTTTCCCACAGACTGTTACGTTTTAAACGTTATTACAACTTAAACACAACTTTTCTCCCAGTTACACTTTCTTACAGACTTTACAACGTAAAGTTTCCTCACTGACTGTTGCAAGTAGTGCTGGCTTACAGCAAAGTTACTGATGTGTTAAAATACCTGTGTGTGTGTGTGTGTGTGTCTGTCTGCGTGTGTGTGTGTCTGTCTCCGTGTGTGTGTCTCTGTGTGTGTGTGTGTGTGTGTGTGTGTGTGTATGTGTGTGTGTGTGTGTGTGTGTGTGTGTGTGTGTGTCTCTCTGTGTGTGTGTGTGTGTGTCTGTCTGCGTGTGTGTGTGTGTGTCTGTCTGCGTGTGTGTGTCTCTGTGTGTGTGTGTGTGTGTGTGTGTGTGTGTGTGTGTGTGTGTGTGTGTGTGTGTGTGTGTGTGTGTGTGTGTGTGTGTCTGTGGTGTGTGTGTGTGTGTGCGTGTGTGTGTGTGTCTCTGTGTGTGTGTGTGTGTCTGTCTGCGTGTGTGTGTCTGTCTGCGTGTGTGTGTGTGTCTGTCTGCGTGTGTGTGTCTGTCTGCGTGTGTGTGTCTGTCTGCGTGTGTGTGTGTGTGTGTGTGTGTGTGTGTGTGTGTGTCTCTCTGTGTGTGTGTGTATCTGTGTGTGTGTGTGTGTGTCTCTCTGTGTGTGTGTGTGTGTGTGTGTCTGTCTGCGTGTGTGTGTCTCTGTGTGTGTGTGTGTGTGTCTGTGCGTGTGTGTGTGTGTGTGTCTCTGTGTGTGTGTCTCTGTGTGTGTGTGTCTCTGTCTGCGTGTGTGTGTGTGTGTCTCTGTGTGTGTGTCTCTGTCTGCGTGTGTGTGTCTCTGTCTGCGTGTGTGTGTGTGTGTCTCTGTGTGTGTGTCTCTGTCTGCGCGTGTGTGTGTGTGTGTCTCTGTGTGTGTGTCTCTGTCTGCGTGTGTGGTGTCTCTGTCTGCGCGTGTGTGTGTGTGTCTGTGTGTGTGTCTCTGTCTGCGGTGTGTGTGTGTGTGTGTGTCTCTGTCTGCGTGTGTGTGTGTGTGTCTCTGTCTGCGCGTGTGTGTGTGTGTGTGTCTCTGTCTGCGTGTGTGTGTGTGTGGTGTGTGTGTGTGTGTTGTGTGTGTGTGTGTGTGTGTGTGTGTTAGGTTCATCCTGATGTACTCCATCGTTCTGTGTACGCACTACAACTCCGCCCTCACCACCACGATCATCGGCTGCATTAAGGTCTGTTACAGTCAGAGTTAAAGTCACTCAGCCTTCTGTGTTCATCAGTAACAGTCACTCAAACCTGTAACCCTGTGGGGTTCTTAGTCGTCTCAGGTGATAATTAATTAATTAAATTAATTAATATTATAATTCATTATTTCTGACTCAGTTCATTAAAACAGGTGGATAAACTGTGTGGGTAGTGCAAAACCCCTTGAAAAGGGTTCTGTGTTGCACCAAAAAGGGTTCTTATGTTGTTATAGGCTTGACATCATAACAGAAGCAGAACCCTTTTTGAAAACGGTTCTATACAGCTCCACAGAGGAATCTTGTAATGTTGCAGGCTTAACATCGTAACTATAGAAGAGCCCTTTTTGGTGCTATGTGGAACCCTTTTCCAGACGTTTCTATAAAGAACCTTCTACAGCACATTCTCCATCAATCTGAAGAACACTTTCACGATGAAAAGACTTTCTTCACTAAAGAACCATCATTTGTAAGAGTCTAGAAGAGGTGATCTTTTATTGAGTTGAATTTGATGAGAAATGAATGTTGTATGTCTTGTTTTACTGTTACTGTCGTACAGAATGGAAATCAAGTATGAATAGTTGATTACGTAACAATGTAATTTAAATACTATGAATATATTAATAATAATGCTGTTGACGTATCATAACACACATGGAGAACTGCTGCAAATAGATTAGCGTCGTTAGCACAAATGGAAATTGTAGGAGGCACAGATGTGTTGGACATTTGAAAACCAGTTTTATTCTATTTCCATGGTTTCCTTGGTTTCCATGGCGATGTGCAATGAGCCTCTTTTATATGCAGTGATAGGAAACACGGCAGCTCACAGAAACGTTCGACTCCACACGCTGATCCATTTCACTGACCAGCGTGGACAAAAACACTGACCAACTACTGATTTTAACCTGATAAAGGGATTAAAACGTCAGGTCAGCAATGTGGTCACTCTTTCTCTCCATCAGAACATCCTGGTGACGTACATCGGGATGGTGTTTGGGGGAGATTATATCTTCACCTGGTTGAACTTCATCGGACTGAATATCAGGTAGAAGACTGAGGCTCTGTTTCTTTAACACAAACAGCACATTTACAGTAACTCAGTGTGTGAGCTGTGATCAGAGAGATTCAGAGTGGTTTGGTGTGAAATGGTTCAGATGTCTTTACAGTGGTGGTGATAGGAACCAGGGGTCACCATGACTACAACACTAATATAGACATTTTATTTACTATCCAGAACCACCAGTGAACCTACACGAGTCTTCTGAGTTTATATGAATGTTGATGATGGAAAATAGTGGAAAATCTGAAATAATAAGTTTTCTTTGGGGACTATTTTGCCTCACAGCGCCCTGCATGTATCCCTCCACCATGAATGGAGTTTAAGTTCTCAAAACTATCATAAAACAGTGTCTCAGTCATCAATCAGTGAATTCATAACCATTTCATGCAGTAACTTTCTGTGAGGGAGCTTTTAGAGGTGGACGTCTGGTTCCTATCACCACCACTGTGAACAGTTCTGACTCAGCAAGTTTATCTAGAACAGAGTTTCACACTGAACCACTCTGAATGACTCTGTTTACGTCTTAAGTAAATAATTATGAGGAAATTTTGAAAATGTGATGAAATTCCTCTTTACTGTAGTTGTTCTGTTTCTCTAACAGCATTGCTGGAAGTCTGGTTTACTCCTACATCACCTTCAGTGAGGAACACAGGAGTGAGTGCAGCTACACTCCGACACCAAACTCTCAACAACAGATTCATTCACACATTCATTCCTTCATTCATTCATTCACTCTCTCTCTCTCTCCCCCCACAGAGACTAGGTAGTATGTGCTGGCTGAAACTGACTGACTGAAGCTGACTGACTGCTGCTGAGCCTGCCTGGCTGAAGCTGATTGGCTGACTGAATTGTATCCCATAGTGCCTTTGTACTGTTTACCTCGGACCAAATATTTAGATATTTGTAATCGCACTACATCATGTATTTTTTTATGATGCACGGTGTAGAAAATATTTTATACTGTTGAAATTTTATATTGTAATCATAGATCAGACATTATGTTCTGTATATTTTGACTCTATATTATATGTCAGATATATATCAGTGATATAAATGTGATCCATTAAATGATTCGACCTTTAGGAAATGTTTCAAACCTACTCAATCTGTATCATGGATTTTTTAAATATTATTATTGTTATTTATTATTATCAAGTTAAACTCCATGCGGCTGTTTCTCCGTCATTAGCTTAACAGCAGTTTAACACAGGTTTGGCTAAACTGGTAAATTCAGTGGTTTAACTCACAGCGTCACGTTAATTAAACCTGAGTCTACCTGATCAACTAAAACAAAACACTGCATAATAAGGACATATTTTACTGTTTAAAAGCTTCAATCTATTATGAAATTTCAGAAAATCAGATTGTAGCTTCACCATATAGGTGCATTTTATAGTTACGAAGCGCATTATGGTAAAACACTTAATGAAGTGATTGGTTTGTATATATTGTTGATTATTTTATTGTATTTTATTCCACTGAATAAAATTTGCAGCTTCAGAGAGTCTTTACAGTTGTGTAAAATGGCAAAATTATTTGTTTTTCTAACTGAAAATAAGTTAAAACATCCTCTACAAAGAACACAACATTGTTTTTGCACAATGTCTACTGTTATTTCAGAGTTTAACATAATGGAAAAAACCTTATTCCAAAAATGTTCTGTAACTTTTGCACTGTGTGTTAAATTCAGTAAATAACCAGTAACTAAGCTAGCATTAGCTTAGCTAACATGCTACAGCTCTGAACACAGCTGAAGAGTTCAGATTCTGGCTGACTGAAGCCCCACTGGCCTTTTGCTCAGTGTTTTCTGGGCGGCCCACCAGTGGTTAAGAAGAGTGTTGGACAAAATCCCACTTTTCATCAGCCACTTTACTCTCACTGTCCAGTTTACTGATTTGTCCTTCATTTCCTTCTTTCGTTATCCTTTGTAAATTAGTTTAGTAAATAATTTTAATGCTAATATTATAAATCAAGCTGGTTATTCAGCTGTAACCCAGTCTAGCTCAGAGTCAGCAGCACCATTTACAACAATATCATTTTAAATCAGGCCTGTTACATTTTTTTCTCTTGGCTGTTTGTAATATTTGTTAGTTTATTTCCCAAAATAAAAGTCCTTGCATTTAAAATCTGTTTCAGAAGATTAAAAACTACTTAGATTAGTTAAAATTAATTGGAGCTTGTATGCAGGACGGTAATCTGGGTGGTCTGAGCGTGGTCCAGCAGTGGTATACAGTCAGCAGGGTGCCCACCTCACCAAGCCAGTGGACCGATATACGCTTGATACCTGGGATTTACTAGTAGTTAGAAAAGGTGGTCTGATGTTCAGCATGATGGACTGAAATTCTTGCACTGCTTTCATGTTTTTCGGCAACACCTGCGTTGTTTTTTTGTGAGGCAGCACAAAAATGATGAACATAGTGACGCTAGCTGAGCTGCGTCCCCGGCCCAATATGTACTCTGCATGTACACCACTGTCATGCCTGTGTGCACTGCAGTACTACAGCACTAGTGTCCAAAACTGCCCTGTTCACTATATAGTGCACTATTTTGGGGTTCCACCATTTTGTAGTGGAGTCCAGTGCACTCAAACAGTCCCATGATGCACTGCAATAAGTAGTGTACAACTACCCATAATACACCGCATTGATTGGAGTGCAGATTCACAAGCAACTTCTCTGAAGAGGATTAACGAGCCCATCTACAATGGCAGGATCTCCTGATGTGCGGTCAGGCTCAGTGGTTACGGTGTGTCGTTTACAGTGTTTGGGTCATTCTACAGAAACGTCCACTTTTGTGTCCCCAGCATTTACAGATATATTACACTTTACAATTTATTTATATTTTAAAATAAAACAAGCTATTTTAACAATCACACCTTCTTGAGCCTCAATTTAGTAATATTGGTTTTTAAATCAATCATATAGAATTCCAAACACCACAGAAGAGCTCGTCCTCACAGTCATGTGTGAAGGCTGAGGCCATACTTTGAAGTAAAAAAAACACATTTTTCTGCAATTTTAACTACAATAATCTATACATGACTATGAAATATATGATGTAATATAAAGAAAACAAATGCTAAATAAATATTATAAAGTATATAATGAAAGTTGTTGTCCCCAGGAGTCGTGTCACTGGTGTTACTGTGTAACAAAAAATCTCTTATTTTGAAATAAAAGTCACACTGATGACATCACTCGACTTCCTTTTACCTGTTTTCTGAGGATCTATGAAGAAAAGCACATGGTGAGTCCACTGTGTCTTTCAGTTAGCAGAGATTTTCTCATTTAGCTCATGATTTCATATGAAGCTTTTAGCTGAAGTCACTGGTGTGACCGACTTTATTCTGAGGTCATTGTGAAAAAATAGAATACAAATGGATTAAATTACATATTTTGGTGGATATTCCATGACTGACAACATGTGGTTTGATGGTTTAAAAATGTCTCTGGTGTTACCTTTATGTGTAACACCAGTGAGGATCGGCAACACCAGTGACTCCTATGGACAGATAGAAAAGTGGACGTTTCCGTAAAATGACCCGGGTACCCGACATACTCTATTGTCGCACAGTAACATGCAAACCCGTACAATGTAGTGCCCGAAATCTTTCACTACTATCACGAATTGTTCCTATGTGTTCTATATAGTGAGCCAGATTGTCAGATGTAGGGTGTAGTGAATAGGGGACCATTTCAGACATGGCACTCGTTTGTACGACACTGTATTTGCGGGTTAGCTTGGAGTGTTTAATGCTGAAACTGCTATATCATCTGTCTCATTCTCTTCGTTTAATACTAATTATTAAGTATCTTTCTGTGGCTGAGAACATTCAGGTTAGAGCACAGTGAGACGAGACGGGGACGCAAAAATACCTGCTCTATTAGCATCACTGTGGTGCAGCACGAGAGCAGGTCTGACTGAACTCCAGACGCCTCCTTACTCCCTATAAACTGCACCTCACAGATCATGAAATCACGGCTTCAACACCAAAACAGTGCAGTGAACGTTAGATAAGATGTGCAGCCTGGACTGATACATAACTGTTTATGTGAAGAAGCCATTATACGGTGATCTATGTAGTGCGCACTACTTAGGAAGCAGGGAGCCATCTGAGATTGAGCCCAGCTCTATTCACGCTATTGTTACTGTAGAGCAAATACAGGCCAGGAAGAGACTGTACACAAAGCAAAACGGCTCAGTTAGATAATCACACCTTACAGCTCTGTTTTCACTGATAAACAGGTAGTACAGCTCACCAGCCGAGCAGAGAAGAGTGCAAAGTGCACACGTAATCACTACTGGAGAATACGGCGGTTCTAATCTGCTGTGAAAGTCGGGTGTACATGTGGTACAGAGCAGGTTCTGCCTGTGGAAATAATGTTCTCTACACGTGTGATGCAAGTGAGGCAGGGGATGCAGATCGGGTAGCGACAAATAGAACCAATCAGCGAAGATCTACATTACATGTGTCAGGCTCCAGTCCCTGAGGGCCAAAACTCTGCAGACGTCAGCTCACTGCCTCATTAAACACACCTGATTCAGCTCGTCAGCTAATTAAGGCCTTCATGGACTGAATTCAGTGTTAGATGAGGGTGAACGCTGATCTCCACAGCCCGGCAAGATCCCCCGTTTCACACGCCTGATCTACATCATTAAGCCAGCCCACCTGAATGGTTCTATGGCTCTGAGAACCGTTCAGCCCTACAGTGCAAAGGAGGCCAGTGATGCTCACATTAGGCTGCATCTGAAGAGAATTCCAGACTTCCCAGAAGAAGAAGACTTCCCAGCTGTGGAGAAGGTGGTTAACGTGAAGCAGTTCAGAAGGCACTTAAGGCTGTGTCCACACTAGAGTTTGACCACCTGCTCTGTGAGTTCGGCCCGTTTGGTCGTGTGTGAAAGCTGTTTCTGAGAACCGATCTCTGGTCTTCCTGAGATCAGTGGTCTGCTGCACGTGGGGCTTCATTTTGTGATGTGTCTGCTTCCCCTTATCGCATCACTTCTCGCTTCTGGCCCGCACGGTCAAAAACCTCATATGAGAACGGTTCTTTTCTGCAGGTGCTGCTCTTCACCACTTCAGCGTTTGTATCCAACGAAAATAACAAAATGCAGCAACAGATGAAGCTACACTCTAAAAATAATTGTTCTTCAAGGGTTCTTTAGTAAAGAAAATGGTTCTGCATAGAGCCATGGACACAAAGGGTTCTATATGGCACCAAAAAGGGTTCTTCTATTGTTACAAGCTTGATATAGAAAAAAAAATAGAAGAACCCATTTCAAAAAGGTCCTATATAGAACCATCTACGGCACATTCTCCATCAATCTGAAGAACGCTTTCAGGGTGAAAAGACCCATTTAATCATGCAAAGGTTCTTTGAGTATTCAGGGTTTAATTTAGAAATGTGTTCTTTACTAAAGAACCCTTGAAGAACCATCATTTTTAAGCGTACCATTTTGCAAACATGCGCACAGAAAAGTGACATATGGAATTGTGCAGTAGCTCCACGATTCGGGTGGAATCGATGTGTTAAAGCAACCCAGTGATAATGAGCCCCTCCCCGAAAGCGAGCCCAGAACCGGTCCTGGTGTGGACTCGAGTGTTTAGGACAAGTGTGAAAACACCTTTAAAGCTAAAGCTGCAAACACAACAAACACAGCGGAGACCGAGGTTTGATTTTTTCACCATCAATTTTGTGCAGCTCAGAAATTAAACTTCAGCACAAAAGTGTCAACTGAAGAAAAGAACAGATACACATTTACAGGATGATTATCAAAAGTGTGAGAACTATACAAGATAAGAAATCTATACAAACCTTACATCAAAGGACAAGTGCCTCTCGTACAGACTCCACTGACGGGTTTAGAGCCCACCTCGAAATACAGCTCACGCTCACATACAAGTAGCAGACGCCAACAAACCCGAACAGGAGCGCTCGCTTTAAATCACGGCTCAACAAAGAAGATCCACCCACAGCCACGTTCTGACACAGCTGCTACTGAGAGGCTGGACAGCTTCATACACACTGGTAAAAATCCCACTCAGGATGAAGGAATGACCGACTCTAAATGTAGGTATTGTGATATAAACTGAGTCTGTTCTACAGTTTCTCATTAGGCTGAATGAATAACCGACTCTAAATGTAGGTATTGCGATATAAACTGAGTCTGTTCTACAGTTTCTCATTAGGCTGAATGAATAACTGACTCTAAATGTAGGTATTGCGATATAAACTGAGTCTGTTCTACAGTTTCTCGTTAGGCTGAATGAATAACCGACTCTAAATGTAGGTATTGTGATATAAACTGAGTCTGTTCTACAGTTTCTCATTAGGCTGAATGAATAACTGACTCTAAATGTAGGTATTGTGATATAAACTGAGTCTGTTCTACAGTTTCTCATTAGGTTGAATGAATAACTGACTCTAAATGTAGGTATTGTGATTTGATGGTTTCTCATTGGGTCAAATGGGATTTTTACCAGCGTTCTGTAAACCTAACCTAGTAACTGTAGAACACATTGGTGGGCGGAGCCTGCAGAGTCAGCTCAGCGCTCTTCACTTCCAAAGAAGGAAACAAAGCGAACGCTGATACAATCACACAGTACAAAAGTGCGACTCCAGTGGTGCTGGCTAAGCTAACCGTCCACAGGAAGTCTGCTGCCCGTTCCGCTTCACCGCCGGGCTTAGAGTGTACCTGACAGCAATTCAGCCGCCGTCAGTGTGTTTCAATAAAAAATATAAATATCTCGGTAAAAAAATATCAGACAAATTCCAATACAAATAGAATATACATATTATTCTGTGTAAAATGGTGTGGGGTCTGATGAAAACTGGAGCAGTAATTAATTCGTTACTACATTAGTAGGGGTTGGGTGGTTCTCTTTCTTCATGTTCTCCACCCGTTCTCTCTCTGACGTTTCACTTTGGACGTGGAGGAAGGCGTCAGAACGTGAGAACCTTCCTCAGAAAAGCTCGATAAACCCCCCCTGGTCTGCTGGATTTGGTCTGGCCTTTGGTTTCTGTTCCATTAGCAGTTCAGTCTTCCTTCACCCTGGAAGAGTCTATCTCCACCGGGGCCAGGGGGTCTGAATCTGTCCTACATTTTTTGGCCGGCCTGTCTGCGGCCTGGCTGTCCGGCGGCCGCTTCGTCGCTCCGTTTCTGTCGGCCGGAGGCTCGCAGCCGTTGGAGTCGTGTGGCTGCGATGGAAGGCCGTCGGCTCCGTTCGAATGGACGGGGTCGTTCTTCACCTCTCCGCTGGACATCAGGACCGAATCTGAGCTGGAAACACAGCTGTGGCTGCTCAAACCTGCAGGACACAGAGCAGAAAAACACTCAGCTACTACAGTAAACACAGAACTACAACTGATCTATATCACAATACCTACATTTAGAGTCGGTTATTCATTCAGCCTAATGAGAAACTGTAGAACAGACTCAGTTTATATCACAATACCTACATTTAGAGTCGGTTATTCATTCAGCCTAATGAGAAAACTGTAGAACAGACTCAGTTTATATCACAATACCTACATTTAGAGTCGGTTATTCATTCAGCCTAATGAGAAACTGTAGAACAGACTCGGTTTATATCACAATACCTACATTTAGAGTCGGTTATTCATTCAGCCTAATGAGAAACTGTAGAACAGACTCAGTTTATATCACAATACCTACATTTAGAGTCGGTTATTCATTCAGCCTAATGAGAAACTGTAGAACAGACTCGGTTTATATCACAATACCTACATTTAGAGTCGGTTATTCATTCAGCCTAATGAGAAACTGTAGAACAGACTCAGTTTATATCACAATACCTACATTTAGAGTCAGTTATTCATTCAACCTAATGAGAAACTGTAGAACAGACTCAGTTTATATCACAATACCTACATTTAGAGTCAGTTATTCATTCAACCTAATGAGAAACTGTAGAACAGACTCAGTTTATATCACAATACCTACATTCAGAGTCAGTTATTCATTCAACCTAATGAGAAACTGTAGAACAGACTCGGTTTATATCACAATACCTACATTTAGAGTCAGTTATTCATTCAGCCTAATGAGAAACTGTAGAACAGACTCGGTTTATATCACAATACCTACATTTAGAGTCAGTTATTCATTCAGCCTAATGAGAAACTGTAGAACAGACTCGGTTTATATCACAATACCTACATTTAGAGTCAGTTATTCATTCAGCCTAATGAGAAACTGTAGAACAGACTCAGTTTATATCACAATACCTACATTTAGAGCCAGTTATTCATTCAGCCTAATGAGAAACTGTAGAACAGACTCAGTTTATATCACAATACCTACATTTAGAGCCAGTTATTCATTCAGCCTAATGAGAAACTGTAGAACAGACTCAGTTTATATCACAATACCTACATTTAGAGCCAGTTATTCATTCAGCCTAATGAGAAACTGTAGAACAGACTCAGTTTATATCACAATACCTACATTTAGAGCCAGTTATTCATTCAGCCTAATGAGAAACTGAACTCATCGTAAATGTACTTTTTAAATAAGGACAATTGATTATGTTAGAATGTCAGTATCACAAAAATCTCTAAATTTCATTCATTCTACTGCATTCATAACTCCATAGGAATTAACGTTCTGTTGATCTGTAATGCTGATGCAGGTAAACTTAATCCCAATTTCTATATTTCTGAATGTTTATGTATCAGAATCAGCAGATAATATACATGAAAACACTGAATATTGGCTTTAGCCCACATCAACTACCCTATCAGTGCATCCCTAGTTCTTACCTATATGTAGGACTGGCCCTTTCGGAGATTAGCTCAGGCTGTGTGATGTATGTGTGCTGTGTGTTCTGTTCTCACCGTTATGAGTGGAGCCCTCTTCTCTCTCTGATTGGCTGGCGTTGCTGCTGGAGGTGGTTGGGGGCGGGGTGGCCGCTCGACTGGACGCCGCGCTCTCCGTCTCGTCCAGCAGTCTGTCCATATAATCCCTACAGGAGACACATAATCAGTTAATAGCTACAATTCAGCATCACAATACTGCAAACAGACAATGGTCCGGGCCAGAAGGAGGAAAACCAGTCCAAACAGGACACAGTCAGTGTGTACCAGCAGCAGAAGACCACGTGGTTAACGACTGACTGCTTACTGTATGATTATTTATGGGCCGGCCTATAATACCAGTTTACACTGAGGTGCCACTGATAAACTGGTGTACTGCCACTGATATTTGGGGATTTGTGTAGAAAATTAAGAGCCAGTTCTCTGCAGGGTCTATTTACTGTCACTGCCATCATAAAACCACTTGTGTGTACCAATGATAACTTAATGAAAGAAGCAAAAACGTGTTCTTAACTGTAATATAAGTTAAAGCTACGTTATTTTTGGAGACCTCTCTGCTGGAAAAACGTGCAGAAGAACATTTTGTAACGAGGGCTGTGCTTCAGTCCCCTTCCGCAAGTCTGAGAACTCAGAGAGAACTCAGTCTAAACTTGGTGAAGGAGCGTCTTCTGAGGATGTGAGTGAATTATCTACTACTGTCATCACATCTTCATCAGTATGGTGTTGATTTTGAGATCAAACATCGAGCCGGACCAGAAAACTTGTACAGAGGATAAGTATCACTCTGTAATGTGTTCTGGGTTTCTCAAACGCTAGAGGGCGCTCCCGAGCGAGTCCAGAATGAATGGGTTAATATGGAGCATTTGAGTAAAATCATAGTTTATTAATGCTGAAACATTTTTAATGTAAAAGAATTAATGCATTTCCTGAACACAGAACAGCATAAAACATTTTAACACCGCTGTTATATTTTTAAGAGCTTTTAAACTCGAATTATAGGAGTTTAAAACGGCGCCTCATGTACGTTCATGACGTCTGTGAGCACGAACAGCCAATGAGCTGCTCCGCTCACCAACCAATCAGCTCTCAGTAGCAGTAATGCTAACAAATCAGCACTCTGTAGCAGTAATGCTAACCAATCAGCTCTCAGTAGCAGTAATGCCAACCAATCAGCTCTCAGTAGCAGTAAAGCCCGCCTTCTGCAGCCCAAAACCCGTTTGCTGTAGAAAAAAGGAAACATACATATTTTTTTTTTTGCTTTTTCAGTGAAATCCATCCTTCTGCTTTGTAAAATTAAAGGAAAGTTCTGGTTCAGATTAGAATTCTGAGTTCTGACTAGAAGAGTTCTGATTAGAAACTATTTTAACTTTTCGTTTTTAGCCGTTTAGCTCCATTTACTCCCATTCATTGAGGACTCGCTCGTGGGCGCCCTCTGCTGTTTAGCAGTCCTGTTTTTGATATAACAAGGGAAACAGGAAGTGGCCAAGATGTGGCTTCATAAACCTTTTCAAGGCGTTTTATTATTTCTGCCCTGAACTAAAAGCCTAGCTGTGTAAAATAAGGAAAAACCCACCCGATTTCTGCCAGCTCCCATAAAGAACATCTGAACCTAGCAAACGTCACTCCATGGGTTTTATTGTTTCGCTTGTAACAGACATTAACATATATTTGATTTTCTATGTATCTACATTACAGTGAGTCTTTCAGTAAAGAGTCCTGCATAGAGCTGCCGCCGCTGTTTTCCATTCCTAACAACTAACCGGAACACTAACTGACTTAGACTACGACCCGAATTCACAGTCTAGAACCTCCACAAGACCTAGAGTGACCTTTTTCTCTCCATTCATTGTGAATCAGAGCATGACTGGTTGGTTCCTTTGTCGCTATCTAATTATGCTGGTAGTTAATCTAACATGTAAGGCCTTCAGTCCAGCTCCTGCAGTCCTAACCAATGGGAGAGCAGTTTGGCTGTATCTGCCTAGATACCACAAAGAAAACAATCCTGATTGGATCGTTTTCTGTTGGACAGTTTAAGATTTTAACCCTTTTGGTTCCAAACAAAATTTCTCAATGGAGTGCAGTGTTACAAATACTTAGAGTTTAAATACAACCAATATGATGATTCTATTAAATGTATGTAATGTATTTATTTATTTATTGCACAGAAATCATTAGACTCTCGCTGAAGGCCTAGAAGACCCTGAGGGTTCCCCTTTGGATACAGACAGACCTTCGTTTACACTCATCAATCATATCACTCTGCACTCGTTTGAGGACAACAAAATTGCAGTAAACTGAGGTTGAACACTGTTGAACAGTCGTAGCGTGCCGAGGGAATACTTACGTCACACCCGGATGAAGGTTATATTTCCTCTTGCCGAGTCGGGTTTGCTGTGCGAAGAAATCGTATCGCTCAGACTTTTTCCACATGTAATAAAACGCCACACACTCCCCTACAGACCGCGTCCTGACCTGCAGATACAGCACAGGGCAGTTTTACATCACCAGTTCAACACTTTAATTTCACAGAGTTGTATCAGTGATAAATTTATACTAAAAATCACTTGTAATTGCCCATCTAAGCTCCTCCCACAAACGTGTTCTTTCTTAGCCACTGTTGCCAGGATGTCGTCTTACCTTGTTGGCTTGAATGAGATGAAAATCTTTCCCATACGCTTTAAGACCCTGTTCAAAATTCCTACATTCTTCCTCTGTCCAGACAGACAGCTCTTCTGCGGGAAAAAGGTCCTTTTATATTATTTTATTTTAAATACATTTACAACATTATCTCACACACACACACAGACACACACACACACAGACACACACACACACACACACACACACAGCTCTGAGATTATAACTGGCATTTAAAACCGAAAGGTCACGTTTTAATAGCACAACAAAGCCTTTCCATTAATAAACCCCCTAAAAATATACAATAAGCATATATACTATGATATTTGGTATTACACTAAGAGCTAATCCTGAGGAGGCTGTGACAGAGTCAGCTATTCAAGGCTGGGACATCCAAGGTGTTTTCCAAAATAAATAAAGAAATAGATAAATTCATAATTACCTGCATAATTAAGTGGTTAAGATGTAATCAGAGTGGTTCAGAGTGGTTTGGTGTGAAACGCTCTGTTCTAGAGAAACTTACCGAGTCAGAATTGTTCACAGTGGTGGTGATAGGAACCAGACGTTCCACCTCTAAAAGCTCCCTCACAGAAAGTTCCTACAGTAAATGGTTATGAATTCACTGCCTGATGACTGAGACACTGTTTTATGGTAGTTTTGAGAAGATTTTGACCTTAAGCATTCATGGTGGAGGGATACAACGTATTATTTCAGATTTTCCACTATTTTCCATCATCAACATTCATATAAACTCAGAAGACTCGTGTAGGTTCACTGGTGGTTCTGGATAGTAAATAAAATGTCTATATCTGTGTTGTAGTCATGGCGACCCCTGGTTCCTATCACCACCACTGTAAAGACATCTGAACCATTTCACACCAAACCACTCTGAATCACTCTGTTTACATCTCACACACTGAGTTATGGAGGAATTTTGGAAAATTGGTGAAATCGATGAGTTACAACAAAAGAAAACAGAACGTTGTTCCTTCAGTCTGCTCTGTTCAACTTTGCAGATACGAAGCACAGAATTTCTTCAAAAGAGAGTTTACGATATTGAAGAGGATGAGATGTGAAAAACCTATGTTATGTAAGCTAATCTGGTCAGAATTAGACCTACCAGTCATTAAAATGCATCACTCATAATGATAACAGGATGTGGTAAACGTCAGCCTCCATACAAGCACAGAAGAGTCTTTATTCCACTACAATTTCACAGCTGGGATATTAATTCCTTTCAGAAGGTCCCTCTTTACCTCCTTTACCTGAATGTGAGTCAGGAAGACCCTGTATAATAACACTCAGTGACTCAGCGCTGCAGCAGGCCTCACCTCTGGCTGCTTTGACGTTAAACCTCAGTCTGCGCAGAGCCTCTTCTGTGTCAAAGTCACACTTCACCAGCTCGTACAGCGCCTGGAGGACACACAGCAGTTAGACCCACTCATATACGGTAATGTGTGTAAAGATCTACTCCTTAAAGAGTCGGTTTGGCAGAACATCACCTTCCTCTACCCCTCCAACCAAACCCACCCCAAATGTAGGTGTAAATGTGTTTGGTATTGGAAGTTTACTTCTTCAGTCTTAGCACTGCTGCTATGAAGCTAATGCAGCTAACATGTAATAAAACACATTATAATTTATGTTATTTCTAATAAAGAGGCCAGTGAGTGAACATACAAGGTAGGTGTTTCTAATAAAGTGGCCAGTTAGTGAACATACAAGGTAGGTGTTTCTAATAAAGTGGCCAGTTAGTGAACATACAAGGTAGGTGTTTCTAATAAAGTGGCCAGTGAGTACTCTAAAAGCTGTCTGAGCCAGGTTGCGTTGTCTCTGTGAAAATAAGGCTTTACCTGCTCATTGTCTTTGATGTGTGACCCCTCAGGTATGGCGTCCACTCCGGTCTCCTCACCCGTCCGTTTACACGCCTCCGTTAGAAACTCCACCACAATGTTCTCCGGGAGAAACTCCGGATTCCACAGCAGCTGGTCGTCGTTTTCATACACTGAGGAGGAAGATAAAGACACGCATCACTAAACAGTCTACAGGCTGGTGAAATGTCACCTGCCTAATAAACAGACACCTCTACGTCAAATCATTATTGATCTGCTGTTCCAAACAGAGTCTGAAAGGCTGGTCAGAACCAGCTTACGACAGTGTATCACTTTAAAGTTCAAAAGGTGCAAGTTTTGATGTGAAACAAACTGAGCCCCATTTCTTTGATTTTTTTGCCATTTTTTATATTTTCAGTCTTTTTAAAAGTTTTTCATCTTATTCCAGTAAAATACTTTAGAATTTTTGAAAGAATTTGTATGTTTTTTCATTGTTCATTCACGTTTGGTCTTTTTAAAAAATCTGATTGATCAAAAATTTGATTGATCATAAAGTAACTGGTAGATTATGCTATTGCTAATATAAACAATAGAGGCAGCCCTGATGTGGATATTAGAGTTAAAGAAATGTTTTGGCAGAAAAAAAAAAAAAATCCACAATTTCCCATTTACCTCAGACGTAATCTATCAGACAAGACATGTTTGGAGTCCAAATTCAGCTCATTTAGTTTAGAACTGGAGCTACGAGGCTAACAGCGCTAACAAACACTAGAAGTCAATAGTCACCCAAATCGTTTTCGTAAACACATCCCCAAAAGACCACATCCAGGTCTTCATTAAGGTGGTGCAGACGTGTAGATGTGTTTTAAGACATTATATGCTTTACTAAGAGCTCTAAACATGAACAGAAACTGTATCTAAGCGCAGTGGGAAGCTGTTTTAGAGAGAAAGTGTTGCGCTGAATTAACCTGGTAGCACCAAACATGGCCTGACTGCTGGGCTCCATCTGGGATATCTGGAAAACTGTGCAAATCAGACTCTTTTTGCCAAACTACTCCTGTAATAATGTGGTGTCTAGTGCGGATCTGAAGCGCACCTCTCTCGTTCTCTTTATATTTACACAGCCCTGCAGGGGTCTCAGCCTGGTACATGGAGCCCACCATGATCTCCTGTTAGAAACAAACAACAGAGTCTGTTAGAAGATGCACTGAGAAGCAAATGATCAGGTCAGGAAGGAAACTCGTATTAAGAAAGAGAGAGGTTTTACTTTTTTCCAGTCCTCTGAGGGAATGTAGTCTTCATCCTCTTCAGACTCTTCATCCACTTCATTATCTATAAAACAAACAAAAAAAAAGCATTTTAATCTTATTTTAATAATCTTAGTTTATGTGGTTGTTAAGCGCTTATTTGCTCTGAAAAACACTAATATTAAAATAAACTCAAATGGCATAAATACAGTATCGTTAATTTTAAGTGAGTTTCTACTTTATAATTTTATTCATGTTAGTGTTGTGTAACCTCTTCCCCTCAAGGAAGCCCAGTGTTATTTCTAGTCACCATCCAATACCTGATTTATCTAATCAGTCCTTCATTATGTTAAATCAGACACTGTTGATGGAATTTAATAAACTCATGTTATGTCTGGAGGCGTCCAGGAGAAATATGGAACCAAGCTCATAAGATATTAACTCATCTTTACTGTATTTGTTTGAATTTGAGTTTAATATGCTGTTTTTACAAGCATAAGCTCACTTACTGCTGTGATAAAATGCTTTAAACAACATACTTGGGTGTCTAAGACTTTTAAACAGCACTGTATTCTTAAGCTTGTACCTCTGAAACTCTTAATGTGTGTTAACTTTACCAGATTTTATGCCATTCCAAGTCATTTGTGGATCATTTCTGTTGTTCCATCCATCCATTAACCATAAAAGGTTCACACAGTGTGAACGACTGCAGGTGTTTTCAAATACTACTACCACTAAGAATAATAATGATAAACAACCACGTTTTCTCTGTAAAGCCAATCAAACTGAACTGTGGTGAAATCTGATAATAGACGATTCACCAAACCGATTCCTAAAGAATCAAAACTGAACTGAATTATCAGGTTGGAGATTTAGGCCCAGTCCCATTTCACCCCCCGCCCCTATCACTCAGCCCTACCCCTCTGTTTTGTGTGCTCTTGTCTAGGGTTAAGGTGTCCTGATTCTTGTTGAGATAGAGGGGGAGGGTGAAGTGTTGGGGCTACATGACCCTCCAAACGGAGGTTTTCCAAACAGAGAGTTATGAGAAAAAAAGAAAAACTAGTAAGACGGCTGAACAAGAGACCAAAGAAACCCACAAATGTGAGAATATTCTTGGCTAAAAATTACGATTATCACTGTATTATCTTCGTTTAATGTTGTTTCCGTGTGTTACGGTCCTTTTCTTCATAACAAGCATAAAAAAAAAATCACTAGTATTTTGCTGACGTCTCAGCGGCTAACTAAATTTTCCCGTTCCACCTTAAATGATGCAGCAGTTACATTCTGGCGCCTCAGGCGTCAGAACTATTTAAGGTAGAACGAGAAAATTCAAACAAGAAGCTGCTGAATATCTGACTTCAGCTTCACATCACTGAAGAATTAGGGGTGGGTGATAATGAATAATTGCCCCCCTCTTTGAAGATCATATGATGCCCTAAATGTAACTAAAGCCCAGCAGTGAGGAGCTGAACTTTACCCTCCTCTGCTGTCACTGCAGACTGGCAGGGTCGCCTACAGAGCAGCGCTGGTAGCTGTTAATGAAGTGATGCTCTTTTTATTTGAGGGTCCCATTTCAGAGGGAAGATTTCAACCACTACCCTGTAACTCAGTTCAAGGGGCAACACTCGAAAACAAGGGGATAGGGGTGAAAATAAGGAATGGGACTGGGTTTAGACTTCAGTGTGATGGAAAGTTGGGCCAGTCAATAAGAAATAAACTACGCAGGTATGAGGTAAAACAATCCGCAGTGCCTCATGCTGGCAGTGCTGTTAAGAGATGCCGTGAAGGGTCTTACTCTGGAAGTAGGCTCGGTTCTGAGGCCGAATGAGCTCCGCTGTGCTGCAGCCTTTAGCAGAGCGAGGGCGATCGCGATCTTCAGCAGCGGCCTGACTCTCCATGTCCTTACACAGCTTCACCACCTCGTCCTAAGGGAACACAACACACACGAGACGTTCATCCTGAGCTCAAAATACACACACAAAACCATACAGAGTCATAATACATTTAAATGAAACAGCAGAAGCCATATCGCCCCCTACACTTCCTGTAGTGTATTACAGTCTGTCAGAGTGACTGTGTGGATCATATGAACATTATAGAGGCTTTTTAAATGAAACAGTAGAAGCCATATCGCCCCCTACACTTCCTGTAGTGTATTACAGTCTGTCAGAGTGACTGTGTGGATCATATGAACATTATAGAGCTTTTTAAATGTAACAGTAGAAGCCATATCGCCCCCTACGCTTCCTGTAGTGTATTACAGTCTGTCAGAGTGACTGTGTGGATCATATGAACATTATAGAGGCTTTTTAAATGAAACAGTAGAAGACTATTTCCATAAATCACTGGAGCTTTAATACCATTAAGGCCTATACCCGATGCGGAGGTTATATGCTTCGTTAAGAGTGGCACTGTATGATCTATTATACTGAAGTAGGCTTTGCGTGTCATGTGACTAAATCCCCTAACCTTATTCCTCTTCAGCTCCCCCGTACTCCGACTGCTCTCATCATTATCCAGCTCTTCTCCTTCGTCCTCCTCATCTTCCTCTTCCTCCTCCTCATCCTCCTCTTCTTCCTCTGGAGACCCCCCTCCTCCATAACCATAGAGATTCAGGAGGTCCTGAATGGGCATCTCTCTTTCCTGTTTAATACAACAAAAATATAAAAACAATAGATATTAGATAGACGTGAAAAACCCCTGAAGGCTGAAAAAGAGCAGTGGACCAGTTCAGAACCAATCCCCTGGAGTCGGGGCTCGGCAGGATCGTTCCTCTGAGAACGTTTAGTAAGATTGATGTGAAATTGTGGTGCTCTCCAAGACCAAAATTACAAGTATGCAAATCATGTCCACATACTGTTTTCAACACATTTTATTGTTTTTTTTTTAGTAAAAGTTTGCTGCTTTTTATACAGAGATCATAAATCATTTCAAACTCCAAATCTATTATACATAAAGGCCATTCTAACAAGTGAAAAACGGCCCATCTTTTGTGTTCTACTTGGGAGGCGTGCTTGGACCCCGATGATTGCCAATGTAACTCAGATGGTGGTTTAGCTCTCGCAGCCCCTACAGTCCACAGAAATCAACATGGCCTACATCTATTTCAGAGGAAAACTAATTAAAAGCTGACTGTCTTGGTTGCACACAATGTTAATTTACACATATTAGCCTTTTTTCACCCACAGTTCAAAAAATACGGAAGAAAAAACTCCAAATGTGTGAAAATGAAACCAACTTCACCGCTCGTGTTCTCTTAGTCCTGATTGACTGATAAAAATTCAATTCTATATGTTCGGGTCGGCTGAATAATGACTACGACCGTTTGGGGAGAGGAGGTGAATTTCACCAAAAAGGGTTCTTCCACTGAACAAGCCTGACATCATAACAATAGCAGACACCTTTCTGGTACTATATAGAACCCTTTTCAAGAACCATTTACAGCACATTCTCTGTCTGAAGAACCATTTCACAATGAACAAAAAAAAATGATAGAAAGGGTTCTTTAAATGTTCATGGTTCTATATAGAACTACTATCTTTACTAAAGAACCCTTGAAGAACCATCATTTTTTTAAGTGTGCAGGAGTGAAGAACAATAGCTGAGAACCGTCCAAGTCTTTACACTGTTTAAGTACATAAACTGAACTTCTCTACTGATGTGAAGTTCTACAGTCTGAGGGATTTCCCTCCCATCCTGCACTCACTGGGCCTCGTTCTCCAACCGTTTTTAAGAAGAAATCCACTTACGCAGTTTTCACGTAGATTCTGATATTTACCGATGTTTTCTTATGTAGGATTTGTTACATAATCACCACCACTCAACATCAGCTGTATCTCCAAAACAGTCATTTTACAGTGGGGGGAAAAAAACAACTGTGAATGGACGTTAATAGAAACCAGATCTAATTTCGGAGCATTTTTCTATTGATCCATTCATCACACAATTTCAACACATATACAATAAGGCATTTATTTTAATTTTTTATTTAAAAACAAGGTTTTGTTCCAACAGCAACAATATATTTGAGAGATAAATAAACTAAGGGGTGGACTTTCTGCTCAGTGCTGTTTTAACACATTATAATAAAGGGCAGTTTGCCGTTTTTTAAAAACATCCACAAAACAAAATAAGATATACTTCATGAATACCATGTATTTCACAGAAAGCCTCAACAACTAAACCTAATATCACATTTTTTCAGCTTCCTAAACCCTTAGAGTGAAGCTGAATGTGATGGTAAAGGAATGAGCGAGTGGTCTCTGACGTCTGTGCAGTGCTGTGTGATGAAGTGTGTTATTCACCCTTTGCAGGTCCTCGATCTCGTTGCGGAAGTTCGTCTCTCCTTCCAGAAGCTCCTCCTCCTCCAGCGTACGTTCGTCGTCAAAGTCCTGCACGAGCATTTCTGCCGAAGGGTCAAAGTCCAGGCTGTCCGAGCCCACCGAAACCCCTGCGGGAGGAAACCAGCACTGTTAGCACTGCCAAACACCCTGGACTCCATCCAGGATCAGTGGAGTCTCCACTGACGCTGATCTTCTCACTCAGAGCTTCAGCTCCAGAGCTCAGATCAGCTGAACTGCACAGGTGTGTGTTTACCTGCACCTGCTGTCTGCAGCTCTGTCATCACTTTACTCACACAGAGTTTATATGGTGGTGGAAATATAGTTTATTTACCAACAATGTGACGGATTATTGGAGATTACACCACAGTTAGCCCCGCCCACACAATCTGACTGGCTGAAAAACAGCTCCACTCATGTTAGATCATGTTATGAAAAAAAAATATATATATATACATATATATATATATATATAAAAGAATATTTATATATAATGGAGAATATAATCACAGCTGTGATCTTAAAGAGGAACTCCATGGATTTTCCAAAATTTCTGCACACATCAGTGCTTAAGATGTAAACAGAGCGGTTCAGAGTGGTTTGGTGTGAAACGCTCTGTTCTAGATAAACTTACCGAGTCAGAACTGTTCACAGTGGTGGTGATAGGAACCAGACGTCCACCTCTAAAAGCTCCCTCACAGAAAGTTCCTACATGAAATGGTTATGAATTCACTGCCTGATGACTGAGACACTGTTTTACGATAGTTTTGTGAACTTAAACTCCATTCATGGTGGAGGGATACATGCAGGGCGCTGTGAGGCAAAATAGTCCCCAAAGAAAACTTATTATTTCAGATTTTCCACTATTTTCCATCATCAACATTCCATATAAACTCAGAAGACTCGTGTAGGTTCACTGGTGGTTCTGGATAGTAAATAAAATGTCTATATTAGTGTTGTAGTCATGGCGACCCCTGGTTCCTATCACCACCACTGTAAAGACATCTGAACCATTTCACACCAAACCACTCTGAATCTCTCTGATTACACCTCACACACTGAATTATGGGGGAATTTGAAAAAGTGGTGGACTGTACCAAATTCAGCACTGGTTCTCAGATAATCTTTCCGGGGTACCTAGCATACTGAACTGGGACGTGTGGGAGGAGCCATCACAGAGTCAAATGACATAAAAAAAATAAAAAAAAAATTGAGCTCACCAGAACTACTGTCTGTCACTCATTCATATCAGATCATTAAAAGCAAAAAACACGCTGAATCAGTTCCTGACACAATCTGATTTTCTGCAGTTATTGGATTATTAAGTGTAAACACACTGAACCGGTTACTGACACAGTCTGATTTTCCGCAGTTATCAGATTATAAAGCACATGTAAACACACTCAGTGTGAGCTTCAGGTTAAATAAAAGGCTAATACAAATCAGCCAGCCTGGCTGTAAAGAAACTGCTTCCCTACATAAGAGATGTTTTCCCTACGTTAAACTAAGTTAGTACAGCATTTTGGTCAGTGAGCGGTCAGTGACATAATAATAACTGCTGCTGTGCAAAAAGTCTAAGCACTCATTGGTATTAAACTGTCTGATATTCTGGTGAAAGAATCTACTTCTGACTGAAGAATCTGTAATTATTATGGATCAAGTCCCTCTGGAGCTCAGTCTGGTGGGCCTTAGAGCAGGAAAACCATCAACTTGTGCAGGAGTAGCTAAAAAACAGAGAGATATTTACCTGGGCTTGAATTCCCCAAGGAGGACTGTGAAAGGAGACAAAAGCAAGAACAGCAAACGGCAAAGTCAGACCATTTGTTTCTAATCTTCAGGAATTTAGTCATTTAAAGAGTTGAGCTGCTGGGCTGCATGTAGTGATCATTCATTTTAATGTACTGGACCACATTTTAGCTTCTAACTCACTGAGCTAAAACACAAAAACCACCAAAAACCTCTGCAAATAAAACTGCACAGTGAGTTCAAGGAGAACTCCACAGATTTTTAAAAAAATGTCTGCATAATTAAGTGGTTAAGATGTAAGCAGAGCGGTTCAGAGTGGTTTGGTGTGAAACGCTCTGCTCTAGAGAAACTTACCGAGTCAGAACTGCTCACAGTGGTGGTGATAGGAACCAGACGTCCACCTCTAAAAGCTCCCTCACAGAAAGTTCCTACATGAAATGGTTATGAATTCACTGCCTGATGACTGAGACACTGTTTTATGATAGTTTTGAGATCTTAAACTCCATTCATGGTGGAGGGATACATGCAGGGCGCTGTGAGGCAAAATAGTCCCCAAAGAAAACTTATTATTTCAGATTTTCCACTATTTTCCATCATCAACATTCCATATAAACTCAGAAGACTCGTGTAGGTTCACTGGTGGTTCTGGATGGTAAATAAAATGTCTATATTTGTGTTGTAGTCATGGTGACCCCTGGTTCCTATCAGCACCACTGTAAAGACATCTGAACCATTTCACACCAAACCACTCTGAATCTCTCTGATTACACCTCAACCACTGAGTTATGTAATAAGGAATCAGAGCTCGACAATATGACCGTATTTATCATTATTGCAATAAAATATCGCTGCTGTCGGATGAAAACCTCAAATCTCCAAAATGGTAACTTTACAGGAGAAGGAGAAAACTACTTTTAATGTAAGTCAATGGAACCAGACTTTTTTCCAAGTCAGTTTGGGTCGTTTCTTTTGGTCCATTTGTCATGAAATTTACACACAATGTAAAGAACAACAGGTATTTTCAAATTATGCAAAAAAAAAGAAAAATGACAAAAAATTGAGATATGAGATTTTCTTCCAACAGCAGCGATATGTAACAATATGCCTTCCTGAAAATATCATGGATATCGTCAGTACTAAAAAAAAAACTTCCATGTGTTTCTATATTGGAATCGCAATTTGAAAGAGTGCGATTTTTAAATCGTAAGACTGCAATTTGTATTATAGTCTTACAGTCCATCAACAACGCTGATACTATGGACATTTTACATAGGGAAGTTTTACCCAGCAACATGGAAATATTGTGACATCACAACCACAAATAACTGGCAGACTAGCGCACCGTGTTAACAGTTCAAGTCACAAGCCAGAAAAAATAAACGCTGGTCTTATTAGCAAAAAAAGTCCATATCTCAATTATAAACAACTGCAGTTTAAGCTGTAATCACAATACTGGTCGAGTTTAATTACATTTAGTGCAGCACAGTGTGTGAAACGGTGAATTCATGGGTTTTGATGGTGTTTTTTGAAATGTGGTACTACTTTGTCCGCTCCAACCTATCAGACGTCAGAAAAAATAAGTATCGTGACATGTATCGTAAAAAACTTCATAAAGTATCGCGATATTACATTTTGCCACATCACCCACCTCTAAAAGGAAATTTAATAAAATGGGTGGAATTCCCTTTTAACGCATTCAGAGACACGGCACAGCCATGAGTGTGTAAACCAGTTCAGAGACTTTATGAACGTTATAACTGTTTATGAAGGCTTTAACGGGGTTTGAGCGCCGATCTGAAGCCGGGACTGATCTGATCAGGACGGAGAGCGATCGGGAGAGAAAACAGCAGCTTATTGATCCAAACAGCCCCGCATTACAGTAACCTGGTCCAGCCTCAGCCCGAGCTCTGAACTCTGAGTTGGGCTTCATCTTAAATTAGCTTAAAGGCTAATTCACCATCAAACAGTCTCCAAACAGGCTCCAATGGTGGAGCCTTTATTATTATAACGCCCGAGGGGCCGGAATGGAACTGCTGCTCCATTTAAGGTGGACCGGGGAAATTCGAACAAGAAGCTGGAAAATAGGAAGCGACATCAGCTCCGAGTCTCCCGCAGAGCCTCACACTACCGGCTAAAACCACAGCCCGGCCCCGGACCCGCACCGCGGCCTGATCTGCGGCTGAGGGCGGATTTTAATGTTAGCGCCGTTTAATCCGGAGAGAAGCCCGCTAACAGGCTAACAGGCTAACAGCTAATAAGTTTGCAGGGAAGGAAATTTGTTAAACTCAACAAGTTTTAATGCGGAAAAACCGATCCCATCTGATCAGCGCTATCGGAGATCTGTCCGCTCCTCATCTGCTCCGGTACGCGAACCGGCGGAGAGTCGCCCGGAGTAAAAACCGACACTTTTACGGTTTGTTTTCGGGTAAAATCAGGAGAGTTTCCGTCCTACCTCCGCCATATTCCGCCGCTGCATACGGGGCACTGAGGGGGCGGGGCCGCGGAAAGGTCCGGATGTAGCAGAGCTAGCAGGCTAACACCGCTAAAGCTGATCACAAGCTTTCATTATAAACACGACGATAAAGTGTTTTAAAGAGCAGAAACAGCCTAATAGTCCATCTAGTATCAGTAATAATGTTTAATATGGAAAAATAGATCACTTCTAATATGAAAATAGAGGCAATGTACCAGAAAAGAACTGATCCAGCAGAGCTAGCAGGCTAACACTGCTAAAGCTGATCACAAGCTTTCATTATAAACACGACGATAAAGTGTTTTAAAGAGCAGAAACAGTCTAACAGCACATCTAATATCAGTAATAATGCTTAATATGGAAAAATAGATCATTTCTAATATGAAAATAGAGGCGGCATACCAGAAAAGAACTGACCCAGCAGAGCTGACAGGCTAACACTGCTAAAGCTGATTACACATTTTCACCATAAATACAATGTAAAAGTGTTTTAAAGAGCAGAAACAGCCTAATAGTCCCTCTAATATCGGTAATAATGTTTAATATGGAAAAATAGATCATTTCTAATATGAAAATAGAGGCAGCGCACCAGGAAAGAACTGACCCAGCAGAGCTAACACTGCTAAAGCTGAGCAGGCTAAATAAATCTCTAAGGTTTTCACTATAAGAGAGTTGTAGTGTTTTAAAAATAGAATAAAATTCATTTAAAAATATAAAACTATAATTTATCAATGTATAGCTCATATGAGCAATGTTAGTATAAAATATCTAATAGCTGATGCTAATGTTTCTACACATTTCACCATAAACACAGACAATGCGTTTTTAAAATGTAGAATATAATAGTACACTTTTAATATTCTTTTATAACTGAATAGTTTATAATGTAAAATATACAGGCTGAACATTAAAAAGGCCTGGATCTGGCAGAGCTCGCAGGCTAACACTGCTAAGTTTCCACCATAAATGAAGTGCACTCTTATACAATTTAATGGTACATTTATTATCAATCATGATATCATTAATCATTTATCATCAATCATGTAATATCATCAATTTAATATCATTAATTCAATATGTGAAGATAAATCATTTCTAGTATGAATGTAGAGGCAGCGCATCAGGCCCTGATCAGGCAGAGCTGACATGCTAACACTGTAAAGCTGAGCAGGCTAAATAAATCTCGAAGATGTTCACTATATACAGAGTTATAGTATGTAAAAATAGGAATATACAATGCATGTTATATTATTAACGATGTTAGTTAAGCACAAATATTTAACATAATAAGCACAGATGGCATAGCGGAAAGGCACGGATCTAGCAGAGCTAGCATGTTGACACCGTTAAAGCTCAGCAGGCTAAATCAGTCTTGAAGGTTTTCACTATAAAGAGGGTGGTAGTGTTTTAAAAGTGGAGTATAATTCATATAACATATAATATTCATAATAGTTAAGAAATTTAAATATATATCATTAGCACAGGCGGTGCATCGGAAAGGCACAGACCTAGCAGAGCTAGCACGCTAACACTGCTAAAGCTGAGGAAGTTCTCGACACAAAGACAGCAAGAGTACCTTTAAAATAGAAATATAGAATTTAATGGCCCTGATAGTAAGAGGATAGTGGACCACTGTCGGCTCGCTGGCAGTCCGCTTTGTTCAGCGTTTTCTGTGTGGCCCACCGGTGTTTAAGCAGACTAATAGACAAAATTCCTCTTATCATCACTCATTTTCACTCTCAGTCCAGTTTACTGATTTTTCCTTCCTTCATTTCTTTAGTTATACTCTGTAAATTAGTTTAGTAAATCATTTTAATTTGTAGCTCAGTGCCAACAACATTTTCTATCAGGCTTAGTTATTATTTTTTCCTCTCAATTGTTTGTAACATTCCCTTTGTTTATTTTCCAAAATAAAAGTCTCTGTGCATTTAAAATCTGTTTGGGGAGATTAAAAACTATTTAGAGCTTGTACGCAGCACAGTAATCTGGGTGGTCCGAAGATGGACCAGCAGTGGCAAAGCAGTCAGTGGGGTGTTGACCTTATCAAGCCAATGGTCCGATATATGCTGCCATCTGGGGGTATGTATTTAATGTTATTCATATTGTTAAAAGTACACAAATATGTAATATATAATTTAAAGTATCTATGTTTATCTACCCATGGCAGCATTTAAAAAAAATAGAAATACATAATTAAACATTATTTATTTAACTTTTATTTCTCATACAATTTATAAAATAAAAAGATAAAATAGAGTACATTATACACTTTAACATGATATATAATAATATAATAAGCTCCTGTCACTGTTCAGACTGCACTGCTATCAAATGGGTAAAAAAGAAACTGTATTTTTATTAAGAAAATATGAAATTATTTGACCCTTAGACTTAAAACATACTCACAGGGTCAGTCTTTCAGACCCAGATTAGGCCTAACCCTAGACTAAAAAAGCATTTCTAATACAGATTCACCATCGATACTGCTGTTTAGGATTAATCCAGGAAACTGGCCCAACAGGACAATTTGTTTAAAACAAAACAAGGTATTATAAAAACATGATAAAAGATGCATAAAAACACACATAGATTAAAAACATAAAACATGCAGCAGTAATACAGGATAAAAAATAATGGTAATTGTAACGCAACGATGATGTCATTTATCTTTCAGCTTCAGTGTGCAGATTACTGATATACTGGTCTTAAATAAGCTGTTTGTGATGTTAAGCATTTGAAGGGGGATATCACCTATTTTTCAAAATTTCTGCGTATCACTGTTTGAGATGCTTCATCACCATAACGATGAATATTGTCATATTCAGTGGTTGAGGTGTAAACAGAGAGATTCAGAGTGGTTTGATGTGAAATGGTTCAGATGTCTTTACAGTGGTGGTGATAGGAACCAGGGGTCGCCATGACTACAACACAAATATAGACATTTTATTTACCTTCCAAAACCACCAGTGAACCTACACGAGTCTTCTGAGTCTATATGGAATGTTGATGAAGGAAAATAGTGGAAAATCTGAAAAAATAAGTTTTCTTTGGGGACTATTTTGCCTCACAGCGCCCTGCATGTATCCCTCCACCATGAATGGAGTTTAAGTTCTCAAAACTATCATAAAACAGTGTCTCAGTCATCAGGCAGTGAATTCATAACCATTTCATGTAGGAACTTTCTGTGAGGGAGCTTTTAGAGGTGGACGTCTGGTTCCTATCACCACCACTGTGAACAATTCTGACTCGGTAAGTTTCTCTAGAACAGAGCATTTCACACCAAACCACCCTGAACGACTCTGTTTACATCTTAACCGCTTGATTAACTGGAAATTTGGAAAGATTGGTGGAGTTCCCCTTTAAGTGTGTACAGTAGGGTTGTGTTTGTTCCTTTGTGACCTGCAGTAAACTGGCCTCATATCTGTATCTGCTTCAGTAACAGAGCTGATCATGTCAGACTGTTTGATCCTCATCAGCAGATTCTCAGTGTTAATGTCAGTCAGTTTTATATGGTCTTCCACAGCGATAAGGAGCAGATTAGATCTGACTCTCAGAATTTCACTTTAAAAACATGTAATATTCACCTACAGGCCAGTCTAAGCGCCCAAATAAGCCTCAGTGCTGAATTAACACCTACAGTGTTAATAATAATAATTCACAAATGAACACTTTAAGAGTGAATTCAACACTGAGAACGCGCTTATATGGGCCTCACAATCAAATAGACACAATAACAGTAACCATATTGGCCTTTAACCATATTAACAGTCTAAATATATTATTACACAGTGGCATTACTGCATTAGATGTGTCCAGACTGCGCCGCCTCCACAGCAGTCCACTTCTGCAGTGCAATAAAATCTACATCTCCATATTTAGTCCCTTCTGTCCAGGCTGGGACTCGGCACAGTTCACTCTCCGAATGGAGGACTGGTTAAAACATCTGGGCCGAATGAAAAGCTCAGTTCAGCTGTTCTTACAGTCACCCAGTGCTCTGCTGTGTTGTTGTTCTCTTGCTGTAGCCCCTCCTCTGGCCGCCAGGTGGCGTCTCAGTCTTTTTTGCAGCCCATCCCGCTCAGGTCGCTGATTCGGTCCATTTTGAGCCCAAAGCAGTTCTTCCCTTTCTCGCGCTTGTTTGGCTGCTTGTTTGGTTGCCTGTTTGTTTGCTTGTTTGTCTGTCTGTTTGTTTGTGTCCTCCGTGCAGAGGGCGGGTTCTTCACACGCGCAGCCACATCCGGGTTCTGCTCTGACCGAGACACGTTCACTCGCGGGGTGATTTCAGTGACCGTCAGGTTCAACGTTCGGTTGGCCGCTGGTAACTGACAGGTATGACACAGACTAATTAACATACAGGCTAATTAACTCACAGGTAAGACTCGGGCTAATTAACATACAGGCTAATTAACTCACAGTTAAGACTCAGGCTAATTAACATACAGGCTAATTAACTCACAGTTAAGACTCAGGCTAATTAACATACAGGCTAATTAACTCACAGGTATGACACAGACTAATAAACATACAGGCTAATTAACTCACAGGTAAGACACAGACTAATTAACATACAGGCTAATTAACTCACAGGTAAGACACAGACTAATTAACATACAGGGTAAGTAATTGACAGGTATGACCTAGACTAATTAACATACAGGCTAAGTAACTGACAGGTATGACCCAGACTAATTAACATACAGGCTAATTAACTCACAGGTAAGACACCGGCTAATTAACATGCAGGATAATTAATTCACAGGTAAGACACAGACTAATTAACTTACAGGCTAATTAACTCACAGGTAGGACAGGCTAATTAACATACAGGATAATTAACTGACAGGTATGACAGACTAATTAACATACAGGCAAATTAACTCACAGGTAAGACACCGACTAATTAATATGCAGGTTAATTAACATACCAGGTAATTAACATGCAGGCTAATTAACTCATAGGTAAGACAAAAGCTAATTAACATAAGGTTAATTGACCCAGGATAATTGACATAGAGGTTAATTAACACTTAACATATGTGTTAACACAGGCAACACACCTGCAATACACGGGGTAATTAACATACAGGTACCACGCAGAGTAATTCATGTAGAATTAACCCACAGCTTAACAAATGAACAGACAACATGCAGGGTAATGAACACAGAGGTCAAAGCCAAGTTGATTAACATGCAGGTGACAACAGACAGCTTAATTAAGGCATGGGTAACACAGGTAACACACAATTAAGACACAGGTAACAAACAGAGTATTTAACATACAGGTAACATTCAGGGTAATTACTGTACAAGTGACACGTAGGTTAATTAACATACAGGTAACATGCAGGCTAATTAACGTACAGGTGACACTCACTGACAGGTTTATTAAAATGCAGGTAAGTTACAGGTAACAGAGGTTAATTAAGACACAGGTGACACACATTAACAGACTTGGAAAGCATAGGAAATCCAGGTAATCATGCAGGTAAAGGCAGTGCAGGTGTGGCACACAGCACAGGTGTGCAGATGTGCTGCAAACGGACCAAACGGATCTGAAGCGCCTGCACCTTCATACTGACCTTGTCCTGGACTGCAGTGAGGGGTTTTGCAGAGGGTTTGAGAGACAGAGTGACCATCAGTAGCCCGCAGATCAGCGCGTAGGGGACTTCCATCGCTGACAGAGTCCACCGTGGGCTGACCTCACCTTATCTCGATTAACCTGTATGTTAACAAACCTGTGTATTACCTGTAACGCTGCTCAGCCGCTCTTAGCCCTCACCTGGCCTCACCTGACCCGCTCTAATCTCACCTGTCCCGGCATTGCTGCTCACTCGCAGGCAGCGCTGGGTTTATAACTCTCCAATGATGTCATACGCCCATTTAAACGAGGACGCCCCTCCCTCGCGCCGCTGCCAGCTTCCGTCGCGGACGTTTATCTCCTCATGATCGTCCGACGAGCTGCCAACACTTCACAGTGGATATGACAGTGTTTACGCTGGAAAAGAAAACAGAGCACTGATTCAGACGTGCACTGCAGTCCCACATTAATGTTTATACACTGGCCAAAAGTGTGTGGACACCCAAACATCACGTCTACAGTATGTGGACATGAATGTATTAATGTGGAGTTTGTCCCAACTCTGCTGCAGAAACAGCCTCTCCTCTCTTAATAAAGCCTCTTTTAAGGGGCTCTTGTATGGGATTTTATTGTTTGTTATTATTATTATTGTTATTTTATTTTCTCCATTATATGTTATTTTCTATCTTTTACCATAGCAGCCACCTAGCAAATCCCGTAGCCACCACCAGAGATGCTGTAGCATGTTGGAGAAATTGTTGTGCTTGTTAATTCTGGCTTGTTGTTCTCCACAGTTGTTCTTTGGGTTTATTCTGATGAGCAATCTTATTGTGAAGGCGAGGCAGGCCACTGGGGGATTTGGGTGTAGAAGGACTGATGTCGAGTGGTATTTACAGCTGGTAGACTCAGTACTCCACACTCATAAAAAAGATGGTTCTTTAGTAAAATGGTTCTGTATAGAACCAGATGTGAGCTGTGACTGTGACCGATAACAGCTGGATAGTAAAGCACCATGACTTGTGCGAAAGCTCTGTCTCTTTTCATAATGGTGAACGCTACTATAGCAACCATCTAAAAACTCTAGCAACCACCTTGAACACCATAGCAATCACAATGAACACCATAGCAACTGCCTGGCAACAACCAGGGATACCATAGCAGCTGCCTAGCAACCACCAGGAATACCAAAACAATCACCAGGGAAACCATAGCAACTGCCTAGCAACGACTAGGGATACCATAGGAACTGCCTAGCAGCCACCATGAACAGCACAGCAACCGCCTAGCAACCACCAGGGATGCCGTAGCAACTGCCTAGCAGCAACTTGGGATACCATAGTAACTGCCTAGCAACCACCTTGAACAGCACAGCAAATGCCTAGCAACCACCTTGAACACCACAGCAACTGCCCTAGCAACCACCAGGGATACCAGGGCAACTGCCTAGCAACCATCAGGGATGCCATGGCAACTGCCTAGCAACAACTAGGGATACCAAAGCAACTGCCTAGCAACCACCTTGAACAGCACAGCAACTGCCTATCATCCACCAGGGATACCATAGCAACCACCTAGCATCCACCAGAGATACCAGAGCAGCTGCCTAGCAACCACCAGGGATACCATAGCAACCACCTAGCAATACCCTAGCAGTCACCTGGAGCACCATAGCAATGACACTGTAAAAATGATTCAGTGTTTTAACTTTAATAAATTTTGATTCAAATGACTTTTGACTGAAGCAGTTTGTTCACTGAGCTCTGATGAAGCACAGTAAATACTGAAAACCTGATACTCCACTGATTTCTCTCTGTGTTATTTTCAGCTGTCTGCTCTCTGATTTACCACAGTGCTGTATGTGTGAGTGAGGAAGTGTGGGCCCACAGACAGGCCTGTGCAGAGTGATGGGCTGAGCTCACTACAGCGAGCCAGGCTGGTTTCTGTTGAATCTATCGAGCTTCTTTCAGCTATGAATGCATAAGATTACGCACTGTTTAGACGCTCCCTTCATTACTGAAGAGTCGGTGATCTGTGTTTCCAAAACATCGGGCCTCATTCATCAGTATCAGTATGATTTTTCTTAAATGTGTTCTTGAGAAAGGTCCTAAGAAAAAGTCTACATCAGACTCGAGACGTGTTCTTAAAGCGCAGAACTGTTCTCACCTTTGTGCTCTTGAATGTGTGCAGATTCTGCTCTTGCCTAAGAACAAACCCCACATAAGAGAACACTAAGTCTTCATAAAACTGTGTTAAAGCAGTGGGCTGCCCCCACAGTTGCAGAGTGTGTGTCACTTTTACACCACTGTTGTAAATATAAATCGTGCTGTGAGCGACCCCTTGTGGACAGCTGTGCACATGCATTTGTTGATGAGCTGAAGGAAACAGAATCCGATTCCCCTTCATGTAAACGCACATCATGAGGGAATGTGGACGCTACAAATTACACTCACAATTTCTATGTTTCTGTGTATAAATAACTGAAATTGGGAGTAATCTGTAGTGTTCATATGCCTGTGTGACACAAGCGCACGCAAAGAGTCGGATTCTCCTGGCGAGTCGGAATTCAGCACAACACCGGCAAAGACAACATCAGAAGAGAAAGAACTACGACGACTTACAGGATTGAATAACGTAACAGGATTTTATTACAAGCTTTCAAGGCTTATTTGGCGTGAAATTGAACTTTTTGCCACAAGACTAATTTATTTCTTTGCATGCTGGCATGAAACGGGACTGCGGTTAGACAACTTTTGGCTCTGGAAAAACTCCATGAGACGGGAACGACACCACTAAAATTCCAGTCTACGACACAGTCTTTCATAATCACACTGGCAGGGATGAACACTCTGCTGTCAGAATGTTGTTGTTTTCCTGTTTGCCGTGAGTCTGTCCTGCGTCCTTTCATCTCTTTGAGCTCTTGCCAAAGAGTAAAAGCCAGTCTGAGATGTCTCTTGTCCGGTCTCTCAGTCACTCTCTCTCTCTTCCTCTGACAGCGTCTTCTTCCGTCTCTCCGCAGCCTCTGCCATGATGTCCATGTTGGGAATACTGAGCTGCTTCCTCTTATAGCTGCTGATTTGTTGGTGTGACCTGATGTCATAAAGCGTTACTCAGTTCTGGTGAGAGGTTCTCGTGTTGCTTCTCCAAGGTTACATAGCGCTATAGCAGGCGTTCTGGCCTGGAGTAGCAGTGACAGAGACACCACTCTCACTGTTATAAGTCAGTGTACCATTGAAATGGTATTGAAGCTGTTATTTTAAGGTCAAATTGGTACATAATGTTGCTTTAAGATGAAATTTCTTCTTAAGAACCGTTGGTGAATGAGGCCCATTATGTTCAGCGAAGTAACTTTTTAAAAAAATATTTTTAGGTTATTCCCTGTCTCTTTCAAAAGACAAAATATAGGTTTGATTGTTTTTGGATGTTTATTTTACAAAAATACATGGAGAAAAAGTCAAACATCCAGTGAATATCCAATATAAGACGAGCTGTTACAGATAGAGCTGTAAAACTGAGTGAATATCAGGTTCAGCTCAGCTTTTTCAGTGTTTTCTAGATGAAGCTGAATGTGTTTTTATACCAGTCAGTATTTAAAGCCTTTCACAGCCCGTCTCGTTTGCTAAACGCATTCTGTTGTTTTTTGGCTCAACCAAACTGATGAATAACATAATATTAATGTATATAGTCCTTCATTAATTTACAGTCAAAACAATCATTAAGTACAAATTATTAATTTTTTTGTATCAGGCAAAGAGCAGAAAACACATACTTAATAGAAAATCACAAAGAAGCCTTGACAGCTGTTCAGTGTGTCTCTCTTTACCTTTATTCCAGCTTCCATTCTTTTCAGAAGACTCACTTTCAGTTCCTTAAAGAATCTGCAGACACACCTCCAAAGTTCAGTCTTAGAAGCTGGTTGATGATTTTCTGAAGTAATCAAACACATTCAGTGGTGTTGAGGTCTGGACTCTGGGGTGGTCAGTCCATTGTTCAGCTTCTTTGTTTGATGTGTCCGTCTCCTTTTCTCAGTGAAGTTCTTCTTGAACAGCTACACATCCTTTCAGACCCACAGCGTTGAGTCGTCTTCTCACAGTGGAAGGATGGACAGAATCACACAGAGAGCTGTAACAGCGGAAATACCCTGTTTTAACATGTAAAGCATGGTGTTGGAACTCGCTCTCTTTTATGTGTTTAGCATTGTTAGGTTTCTCCAGCAGGGGGAGCTGTTAGCATTCAAATCACCATGAGCCCACACCAGCAGGAGTTACTGATGACAAGTATTAGCAGTAACAACCTATTGTTTTATTTTTATTATTTATTTTGATTGCATTATGACTTTGTTTGCATTATGGTATTTCCATTAAAGATTTTAATTACTCAATTAACAGAAAAAAGCATTTAAGGTAAAGAATGTAGATCTAACTGATGTGGACATTAACATAGTTGTTTGGGAGGGGGGTTATAATTGATTACCCTCATTAGGATAATCAATTATATTGAACATTGCTGTGAGGATTTGATTGCATTCAGCCTCAAGGAGCATTAATGATGTATAGTACTGCGGGTTTCCACTTCACAGTAACAACACTTACAGTTGGCTGAGGCAGCTTTAGCGGGTTTACAAACTGACTTTTTGTAAGGGTGGAATCCTATGACAGTAACAGAGTCTGTTTGTCTGAAGGGTTTACTGCCTCTAAAAGCTCCCTCAAAGTTACTACATGAAATGGTTATGAATTCACTGCCTGATGTCTGGAATATTGTTTCATGATAGTTTTGAGAAGGTTTAGGCCATAAACTCCATTCATGGTGGAGGGATACTTAATATGCAGGGCGTTGTGAGGCAAAATAGTCCCCAGAGAAAACTCACTATTTCAGATTTTCCACCATTTTCCATCATCAACATTCCATATAGACTCAGAAGACTCCTGTAGGTTCACTGGTGGTTCTGGATAGTAAATAAAATGTCTATATTTGTGTTGTAGTCATGGCGACCCCTGGTTCTTATCACCACCACTGTAAAGACATCTGAACCATTTCACACCAAACCACTCTGAATCACTCTGTTTACAATTTATTTTTTTTTAAATAATAATTTAAAAAACTTGAAGAGAATTCCCGTTTAAGTACAAGATTATTCAATATAACTAATAAAATGAAGAATAAAGAGAAAAAAAACAATGTAAATGTAGATTTGAGTTTAATTTAATGTGCTTGTTCATATTTAATGGAGTGATTTTGGGTAGAAAAGGCGTCTCCGTGGAAACCGCGGAATCACGTCTAAAAACTACACTTCCCAAAATGCAACAGTGCGAGTTGAATTTAAACCGGAACCAAAACGCCGCTGTTGAACGCATCTGGGTCGGCGAGGAGAGGTTGCGAATAAAGACAGCAGAGCAGGTAATGCGGATAAATCAGCGGAGTGTCGGTCTGTAAGCTGGGTTTTGTGGGAATAGTGTTTGTTCTGAGCTCCAGCGATGTTATTTAGGGCGTTAAAGGTGAGATAAACCCGTTAGAAACCGGCTGAAGGAGAGTAGCTACATGCTAACTGAACGGACTTATCAGAACTCTCCGGTCCACCTTAAATGGGTCCCGTTATCATTATAACGCCTGAGGCCCCACAGTGTAACTGCTGCGCCATTTAAGGTGGAACGGGGAAGTTCTAATAAGAGGCCAGCTTTAGCCTCCTGCTTAGCTTTATTGTTTCAAAACATGACTGTTACTCGAGTCTGACGGCTCAGACACAAAACTACCCTTCACTACAGCTGGAATAACTCCCAGTAAACATTATTCAGAGTTCATATTTGTAGTTAAATAGGCAGAAAATTAGCTGAAGAGAGAAATGCTTTCTTTTCGATGTGTGGCAATAAATTACAGGTGTTCATTTATTTATATATATCTGTAAAACTCAAAAAGGACATCAGTAATGTCTCGTTTCTGTTTCCTTTTCAGCCAGGTAGACAGTATGGAGCCCTCCCCCAGTTCACAAGGCAGCAGTAAACCTCGACAGAGGAAAAAGAACCACCAGAGGAACCCAAAAGATCAGAACATTCAGCATCAGCAGCAGAACGGCCCGTCCAGGGCCAAACCCGCCAAACAGCAGGCGCCGGGGGACGACAACGAGAGCTCACCCGCCGGCAGTTGTGGAAACCGGAACCGGAGGAGGAATCAGAGCGGGTCAGAGTCGCCCCACATCAGCTCCCTCTGTACCAGAGATGGGACGGTATGAAGGTTTCCCTTCGTCGTATCACCATGAACAAGACACAGAGCTGTAGATACAAACGATGATATTCGAAGGACGTTACAGTGTGAAAGCAGCAGAACGTTCGGTTGCCACTTCTGTCGAAACAAAACCTTCTATCTCCATTTTTGTCGTTTTTCAGTTTTTGGCATAATTTGAAAATACCTGTTGTACATTGTGTGTAAATTTCATGATGAATGGACCAAAAGAAACAGCCCAAAATGACTTGGGGGGGGGAGTGGGAGTCTGGTTCCATTGACTTACATTAGAAAGTAGAGTATGTTTTTTCCTCCTCCTGTGAAGTTACCATTTCGGAGATACAAGGTTTTGTTCCAAGAGCAGATATATATTCAACAACAACAACAACAAAAAAAAATGTTTCACGATAGGGCTGTTTGATTATGGCAGAAATTATGATCATGATTAATTTGGTCAGTATTCGGATCTTGATTATTTAGCATGATCACTCACTGACTTTGGAAATATGCATTTATTTAACTTTTAAAACTTTTTTTCCTTGAAATTTGAATATAGTTCAACTTAAAAAAATAAATAAATAAAAGAAAGGCGTGCGCTGGATTTATAGCAGAGAGACAAAACGAGAGCGGCTAAAATTAAACTAAACTAAAATATCTAGTTGTTCTTAAGTGCCTGTATAATGACAAATGTGTTTTTATTTGTTTTTGTTGGCTTTATAGAAAGAGCTGTATGCTGTAATGCTGTGAACATTGCGTTATACACCGATCAGGCATAACATTATGACCACCTCCTTGTTTCTACGCTCATTGTCCATTTTATCAGCTCCACTTACTATATAGGTGCACTTTGTAGTTCTACAGTTACAGACTGTAGTCCATCTGTTTCTCTGATACTTTGTTAGCCCCCTTTCACCCTGTTCTTCAGTGGTCAGGACCCCCATGGACCCTCACAGAGCAGGTACTATTTGGGTGGTGGATCATTCTCAGCACTGCAGTGACACTGACGTGGTGGTGGTGTGTTAGTGTGTGTTGCGCTGGTACGAGTGGATCAGACACAGCAGTGCTGCTGGAGGTTTTAAACACCTCAGTGTCGCTGCTGGACTGAGAATAGTCCACCAAGGCTGGACATTAACCAGAATGATTTAGAATTTTGAAAAAAACAAAACACAGAAAAGCTGTTAGAAATAAAATGAAGAACTGAATTCTGCACTATTTGTATGTCACTATTCAAGTTTTAGCAAACGTGTGAATTTGTAACCGTGTTGAGATTTTTGTGCCAGAGTGTTTTTAGTCTGATCTCTTCCAGTGAAGCTCATGTTCAGACGAATCTCAGGTGGATTTGATCTGCTGATCGGAGGCTTTTACACAAACCTGTGGAGTCCATGTAGCTCGGGTCCACACTGTAATTAGCGCGATAGAGGAAAACGCCACCAAATACTAAGAAATTTTGAAAGATTCTACTTTTCTAAGTTATTATGCTGATAAAATGCCTTGTAATAGAAAACTTTGTATCACATTAGAAAAGAATGTGAAGTAGAAGCATTTTCATTGGTGGCATGTTGGGCCTTTTGTAAGTTATTAAAAGAGGTGGTGAACTATATACTATAATACTGAACAGGGATTTTACAGAGAATCTACCTGACAAAAAGCAGTTTCATGCTCGTAGGTGGCACAACATATATGCAATGGTCCTCATTCACCAATATGTTCCTAAGTTTCTTCTTAAGTGTGTTGTTGAGAAAGATCCTAAGAAAAAGTCTCCATCAGATTCATGTCGTGTTCTGAAAGCGCAGAACTCTTCTTACCTTTGTGCTCTTGAGTGTGTGTAGATTCTGTTCTTACCTAAGAACAAATCCCAAGACAACACTGGCGAATGTCAGAGTCTTCGTGAAAACTGTGTAAGTGGGTTTTAAGAAGAAATTTCTTCTTAAAAGCTGTTGGTGAATGATGCCCTATGATTGTTATTGTTCTTGAGGGTTAAAAAACTCTTTCAGCCAGGAAGAAAGAGATCGGGGGGATGGTGGACTTTCAACCAATGAGTGTCCTTCGCTTTGCCACAAGGAGAGTAGAGGTACTAGCGTGCAGTTTTGGAGAGTCACAAAAGGAACTGCCACAAAGTCAGCCCGAAAATTGAGGGAGCAGGCTTTGGAACCAAATCTTCACAATTAATCACATTTTTAGCATTATTGCGATGAGTTTCCTCGATAGACGTGTCTCAAAAACTACTTAGCTTGTAAAAATGTGACTATTCTCACTCTGTGTCATGTGTTAAATGAGTAGTCTGTAAAATGCATAAAGCAATAACAGCTACTGTTACAACAAACGTGCATCACCATAAGGAATCATCACCATAAGGAGTATTTATTCCTGTTTGTAGGCCTGTACTGACAGAAATTCGTACTGACAGAAATTCTCACTGACAGAAGTGCCTCATGATGCTCACTCACATATTACAGGCTGCAGATTCTCCACAAGGGCGCGCTCTTAGCAGTCAGATAGCTTTTCAGATAGCTTTCGATGCTTCGTAAGATCAGCGCTTCACCCCAGTGACACTGTGTGTCCTTATTCAGAAAGTTGAAGCGTCTGTCTTCTCTCTCACTTTGAAAGTGCCGCTCCATCCCACGAGCTAGTGCTATATCTCAGTACTGAGCGTAATTTTATGTTTTTAATAGGGTTATTTAGAGGTTTGTTTCTCTTTACACAGCGTACTATTTTAATAATAATTAATCGCTCCTCATATCGTCGTCATGATGTCCAACAACTTTAATGTTGATAGAATTAAGGAATTTGTGAATTAATTTGAAGGGGATGATGGGAGAGGAGAACACCAATGCTAACAGTGAAGGAAATGGGGAGAGAGAGATGCTAAGACACTAATCGTGTGGATTTTGGCAGAAAAATGATAATTTAGCCTTCCTACATCTGTGGGGAAGAGATATAATCCTATACTATAATCCTACACGCTTTTCAGAATGACTAATATTTCAAACGGACTGATTATTATGGGGTTTTATGCTGCTGTAAACCATTAAAACCGATAATAACTTTCTGTTTCTTGTCTCTGTTCTTTCCACAGGCCAGTCAGAGTGAGGACAGCGCTGGACCGGTGAACAGGCAGCCGGGTCAGCGCAGTGAGACGCCGCGGAGAAAAAACTGCACAGCAGCAGCAAAGCGCCAGAACAGAGAGCCCTGTGTTATCAGGGACGGCAGCGCGGAGTCAGAAACACCTCCCACGACCAGAGTGACCCCCGCAAAACAACAGCAGAGGAAACAAAACAGCGCCAAATGCATGAAAGCGGCCAGTGTCCAGTCCCGACCCACGGACAGCGACTCCTGCAGCCCGCACGACGGAGAGGAGCAAGAGAAGAAGAAGAAAAAGAGGAGGAAGAAGAGGAAATCCAAAGCTGGCACTGAAGAGAAGATGGAGGGCTCAGGCGTTTCTGGAGCTGAAAAGCCGCAGACTCCGCTGAACAAGAACAGAACTCCACAGCGTGAAGGTAACGTGGAATAGAGCCACAGTCCGGTCTGTTATACTTCAGAGAGGATCCTTCAGGTCCAGTCTGGCTGGTTTAACCTTGACCAGGGCTCAGTCTCACACAGCCGCTAACTTTAATCTATTGATCAAACACTTTTTACCGGGCCGCATTACCATGGCAACTTATACTGCACACCTAACCTGCTCCAGGGCCGGTTATGTTCAGGATTAGGATTATACGTTTGGATCAGCATCAAGCGTCTGATTAAGCTTCTGACCAGTCAGGGAACAGCCTTCTGACCAGTCAGGGAACAGCCTTCTGACCAGTCAGGGAACAGTCCTCTGCCTTCTGTCCATTCAGGCACGGCCTTCTCACCAGTCACTGTCATGCTTCTGACCAATCATGGACGGCCTCAGTCTTCTGACCAATCAGTGGGAGCCTTTTGATCAATCAGGGACAGCCCTCTGACCAATCACTGTCACACCTTTCTGGCCAATCAGAGACAGCCTTCTCACCAGTCACTGTCGCGCTTCTGACCAATCAGGGACAGCCTTAGCCTTCTGACCAATCAGTGTCATGCTTCTGAACAAACAGTGGGAGCCTTTTGATCAATCAGGGACAGCCCTCTGACCAATCAGTGTCGCACCTTTCTGGCTAATCAGTGTTGCACCTTTCTGGCCAATCAGAGACAGCTTCAGCCTTCTGACCAATCACGGATGGCTCTCTGACCAATCAGGGTTATTTCTATGTAAATTGATGTTCAGCTAATAGTTGGTGTTAGTGCTGTATAAAGCTGTGTAACAGGTCAGTGCTGAGACAGTCAGGCTGAACTGGACTCTGTCTGTCTGTCTGTGTCTGTAGGTCCTACAGCAGCTTCTCCAGGCAGTAAGAACCGGAGGAACCGAGGAGGAAGGAGGAGAGTGTTTGAGGACTACATGACCCTCAGAGATGTTTCTGCTGGACTGAAGAGAGGAGAGCTCATTCAGGTCATTTAACTCTGCTGTTTCTTTCTCTGTGATCCTGTTCTGCGGAAACGGTCACTCCTCCCCATCCTCAGCTCCACTCACACTATCCTGTGTGCAGGAATCAAAAAGAATCTTTAAACAACCTAATTATCTCCATAAACACAAAATATAAATAAAGTCAGTACATCAAAATAGCAAATTCAAATTTGTGCTTAAGTGGCATAAAATCTGCTTTTTTTCTTTTTTTGGCAGCAAAACCATTAATAATGTTTTTATAAGACATATTCTTCTTCTGGCTCTGTAATGATCATAAGATACAGTATATTTTTACCAAGATCATGACAAAACAATGTAAATATGCTAATGGGGGCTCCCTGGTGGTTTATAATAATAACAATGACAATAATAATAATAATAATAATATTCATTTAACACATTGTAATTTCACTCACTTTTGTTTATAGTGTAGTTTGCGATGTGACAGTAAATATACTGTACATGTAAATGTTCATTTAATAGACAGATTTCTTTGGTAAAATGCATTTTAAAGGTCCCGTATCATATTAAACTGAATTTTCCACACTAATTTGATGTAAAAAAAAAACAAAAAAAAAAACAGCCCTTTTACATGTATTTACATATATCCACCTATTCAGCCTACACTCTCAGAAATAAAGGTACTAAACTGTCACTGGGGCAGTTCTCCTCTTGTCACTGGGGTGGGACCCTCATCTCAGTCCCTTTAGTCAGGGAACATAACTGAACCATAATCCACTGAAATGATATGTTCTAAGCTGTACTGACTCCACACACCCCGTCTCGACTCCAGGCTTTTATTTTACTGTTCTGTTTTAAAACATTCGGTTATGAAAAGGTACAAATACGAACTTTTCACCTGGAAAAACTTATTTAAGGTTCACAATCAGACCTTAAAACCTCTATTGAACCTTTGAGGGAACATTTACACTGTTTGTACCTTAATGAACAAAAAATGTACCTGAACAGAACCTTTATTTCTGACAGCCTGCAGCAGTTCATCCCTGCCCACTCATGCTGAAGATATAAGGAGTGTTTCACCCTGGACTGCTTTCTGAATGAAACACAGCCAGTCAGAACAGAGCTCATTTACCTGTGTCAGCCGTAAACAGTAAGGGATAAAGAGAGGTTGGAAAATGGTCAAGTAGAATTGGGTTGTGACTGTTTTTAGTACAACAACGACACACAAACATTATAAGTGGAGCTCAGACATAAAAAAAAACAAGATGAGAAAAATGTAGGCTGTGGATCCGTTAATGGGAAATCCGTACAGTAATGCAGTCTAACACTGGACTTCTCTGTCAGATGAATGACTCTGTTCTGCCGCCTGCAGCTGGAAATCATCGTGTTTAATTAGTGGCAGTGTTTTTGTTTACGCACTGATGAGTGTAAGAGCACGTCTGAGTCCAAGTCTGTGCAGCGGAGAACTTTGTGTGCTTTTTCTTGACTCTGCTGTTTGTGTCGTTATCAGGGGTCGCTGAGAATCAACCCCAAGAACTATCACGAAGCGTTTATTCCATCTCCTGTGAGTACTGGCTGTTTAAAGTGACTTTTTTAATTGAACTAAATGTTTTAAATGTTTTAATTAAGGTAAATCACTGCTGAGTTGTGAGCTGCTCACAATTGTACCCTAGGCTCATCACAGCTATATTACAGAATCACCAAATCGCAGTTATTCAAGCTGACCGTGATCAATTCCACAGTCGTTCACACTCATATTATACTGCAGCAAACTAAATGTGAATTGAGTGTGTTTGACTGAGGCAAATACATATAAATCAAAGAAAGCAGTACTTTAGTTCATTGAGACACATCGTGAAGCTGATGACAGCATCTATTTGGTGCTGTAACATGTTTAGAGAAGAGTTGAGTAATGTTTGTGTATTAGCTGTGTAGCTAATTCTAACGTTTTTAGCATGTATGCCAGCGGCTTAAGTGTTTTTGTGTACGTTTAAAGTCTCAGTCGAATATGGCGTTGCTCTACATGATCGTGTGTAAATGTAGACGGTTTTCTGAGTAAATAAAACTATAAATCAAGATGGCTAATCGGTTAATTTGGCAACGTTAGACTTGTTCTTGAATAGTTGCATAAAATTAGCAACAAAAAAGTCAAATCGTGAATCACAGTTATTTATATGACAGTCGCTAGATTGTGATGGTAGTGACAGCCCTTCCATGCCTTAGTGAACTAAGGCGATTTGGTATCGTTTTATTTCAGGATGGGTTGGCGGATATCTTCCTGGACGGAGTTGTGGCCCGTAATCGAGCTCTAAACGGAGACGTGGTGGTGGTGAAGCTTCTCCCTCCTGAGCAGTGGAAGGTATTTATTGTGTGTGTGTGTGTGTGTGTGTGTGTGTGTGTGTGTGTGTGTGTGCGCGTGCTGCAGCAGACTGCTCTGAGTTCAGGGGTTTAGTCCATGGACGGACCGATACATCATTCACAGACGATTAAACCAGCCTATATTAACATTACACAGATTTATCAGTGTTGGCAGAAACACTTGCGTCCCTTCAAACACTTAAAGATCCTCTCCAGGCATCGGAGAAACCCCTAAAAACTCCTCTCTGCTCATCAAAGTTATGTATAGTGAAGTTATTTCCCATAATGCCTTAAAGTTGCTCTACACCTTTGCCTTCATTCAGTATGCGCCGATCTTTGACTATGCAAATAGGAGTTTTCTTTCAGGGCTTTCTGTCAGGAAGCATCTTTTGTCACGTTCTGTACGCATTTGAATTTGAAGTAGCTGACCTTATCTTGCTGACGCTGTACTAGCAGCTTATGAGGATGATGTCTGGACCAAAGGCTGTCCCCTTCAACCCCAGGCCTCCACCGTAATATTATGAATAAAAAGAAATCTTCTAATAGCGGCTGTTTTAAGTCTAAGTCTAAGTTCTGAAAAGATGTCAAAAAGGAAAGAGTCTTCAGACGCTGAGTTTGTGGAAAGAGGGGAAAAGTCTTCTTTATTTCAGCGTCAGGTGGCTCAGAGAGACCCAACTGCACAAATACAGTGTTCGAAACAGTTTATATACCGTTTATCTGGGGTAGTTTGATATCCCCCCACCTTACGTCTTAGATTTTGATATTAGCTCATTCTCTAATAGGTGCATCTCTTCATCCATCACTTTGACCATTGCATGTTGCGCTCACTCCTACAAACTGGTCTGCTTTACCTTTCAGGGTCAACTTGCCCCTCTCTTCACTGGGTCAGTAGGTACACACAGGCCTGTCTGTGAGCCCAGGGGCTTTCCAGTGTGTAGAATCTCCTATGCAGACAGACTAACGCTGCATTTGCACTGCTCCGGCACGTCGACGCACCGCAGCATATCCCATTCGTTTCCAACGGCGCGTCGAGTCGGGGGGGATGCGGTGCGGTGCGGTGAAAAGTTGAGCAGAGCTGAACTTCATGCAGATTAATCTGGCCAACGCGATGCGGCTATCCAATCAGAAGACAGCTGGTCTTCGCGCGATACGTGTTCACAGTGCAGCGTCTGAAATATTCGCTCCGTATTCAAACGTTCCGGTGGAGCAATGAGGAACAGCTCCAAACAATTTTAAACCTAGACATTTTTGAATATGTGTATATATTTGTAATTGATAAAATAATAGATTTGGTTTTTGATTATTAGAAAATCGGCACATTTATTAATTTAAATTTGAGTTAGCAGGACGTGATTTAATTGGATGACGCAGGAAACATTTTTGTTAACGCCCACATGCGGCCTGCTGAAGAGGGGGAGCGCGTTCACGTCCGTCAGCACACCAGAGCAGTGTAAATGCAGCGTAAGGCCTTCCCTTTGTGAGAGAATTAATATTCTCTGCTAGCCAGTACTACCTATTTGGTTATTGATTACAATATCTAATCTATTTGATTACTGATTAAGCGAATATTTATTCAAAATCTCTGACAATGGCCTTCATCATGACACACTTTCTTCAGGAACAACCACAAAGTCATCATTTTTTGTCAGTTATCATAATGAATATAGCCACCATCTAATTCAGCAAGCGTGGCTGTCTGAC